GAGGCCAGGCTGTCAGCCGGGTAGGGGAAAGTACGCAAACTGGCCTTGACCTCTGAGTGACACCCTCCCACATGAACTGAAGCCAGCAGTTTCAGCACATCCATTGCCTGCAATGGACATAGCACTGGAATACCCTGTTCTTAAGCAAGAGGGATGGGCAGCAGTCTTATCCTTCAAAGCGCTGGGAAGAAGCAGACTTCCATCCTTTGTCCCCTCTGCCAACGAGGGAAGCCTTTCCGCATCGGCCACGTCTTCGCCCAGGCCTTCGGGCAGGGAAGCATTCGTGCTTGCTGCAGTCACACATCCCCACAAAGGAATCCGAGTCTGCGGAACAACTTCCCAAAACGTCAACGGACAAAACACGGAGCGGTATCTCCTACCGCCACAATCCTTCCCCAGCACAGCAGCAGGCCATTGGGAACAAAGGGATCAGCTGGGGCGAGGTGCGTGAAGAGCAACACTGACATCAGGCACAGAACCCCGACAGCAAAGCCGACAGCCTGCGCTCGATGCACAGTTTACCTGGCAGAGGGGAAAAACAACAGAAGAAATCAACTTCCCCTTTTCCTGGCAATATAAAGACTATAAAAACATGCTGAAGGCCGAAGAGGGGAAACAAAAAAAGGCTGAGCTTCAGCCAATCTAAGCAGCTAATTGTGACCAGGTACAGATTTGGACTAGGTGAGGGGCTGACTGCAAACACTGTGCTGGGAAGGGACGTGTCGGAGGGTTGAACAATCAGAGATCCAACAATGAAAGCTGGGAGGCAGCAGTTCCGACAGAGGTAGCAAGATCTTAAAAAGAACCAATGTCCACTGGGAACAATTTCTTCACTTTTAGTTACTGGAGTGGCTTTTGCCAGCAGACAAGACGACGCAGGGTCCGCAGTGCCATTCGCCATGGCTTACAACTGAGCGACCCGGCCCTGCCCAGCACGCCCAGCACCAGATTCTCGCTGCCTGAGCCCAAGCCTCGCTCGAAGCTAAACTTGTGCTGGGATTCATCCCTCTCGCAGGAAGACTTAATGTATTTTTAGGTTCATCATTTTACTTTTCAGAAATAAGTAATCATACACCTGAGATCTAAAATGAGATGCATACTCACTGCTGCCTCGCAGAGCACAGCTCAATCAGGAAGCTGGAACATAGGGTAAACCAGGGAATCCCAGGGTATCAGCGGGGAAAAGGAATCTATTAGATGCATTAACTGTATCTCTGGACAAAAGCTGTGATTTAGGTTTGGTAAGGAAGGATACAATAGGAACTACTTCGCATTCCCTATTCACTTGTCCCCCCAGCCCCACACACCACCTGCCAACTCCCTTTGCTCCCCCCTCCAGTGAGCCTCACGCCAGCCCTGGAAGTTGGCGATAATTAACCGACTGATTGCCTGGGAGCCAGAAATCTCTTCTCTCATTACCTGAGAGCTCTGCCTACACAGACGACAAGAGCAGCCCGGCAGCACTCTGGACGCCGGCCCACGGAGCGCATTCGGTAGCCAGCAGAGAGGCACGATTTGCCAGCTGTGCCCTTTCCCTCCAGCCATCAGGGGCTGCTGCGGACGGGCTGGCTTAGCTGGGATGGAGCAGAGCCGAGGCCAAGTCAAGCTGCTCTAACAGACGGTGGCCATATCCCCCACCCACTCCTCCTGCCTCCCGCAGGGAGACGACAGAGTGGTTAAGCCCCAGCCATAAGGGCAGGGAAAGCGCGCTCAGGGCAAGCAAAGTCAGTCCTGTCCCTCCCCGTGTGTCGGCGGCGGGGGCTAACGCCCCTCATGACAAAGGGAGAGCAGAGAGACAACAGCTCGGAGCAGCAGACAGAGGTGTCCATCTGTCCCTGCGAGAGGAAGCCAAACGATAGCGAGTAGGTGAGAGTTCAGCTTTCACTGCTACAACAAGCACTTGGTGAGGAGAAAAATATTTGCCTGTTGCCTTCTCAGCCAGGCCTGGGGCTGGGTCTGTTTCAGAAAGCGCGCAGGGAGGAGCCCTCGCTGCACCGCTCAGCCATCTCGGCCCCACGGCCGCCACACTTGCACGTTCCCAAGCGCTCCGTGCAATCAGAGGGCTGGTTCCGGCTGGAAACCAAACCCAGGCCGCTGCTGTTGCCAAACCACTTCCTTCAGCAAGTTCCTTCACACATCAGAAGCTCTAACAAAGCCCTGGCAATCACTCTGCATGGGAAGCGCCCAGACTATGGCTAAGAACAGGGAACTGCATTTCTAACGGTTTTCCTGCTGGGAAAGCAGGAGGCCAGGCTGCGAGGAGCTACAAGCCAAGAGGTCTCTGCTCTGTCCACCAAGATGTAGCCAAAGGAAAAAAGGATGCTGGGTATGGAAATTTCTGATCCATCCTGCTAGAAAAACACGTGTTCTAGTGGGAGGAAAAAAAAGGTACCGAACACTCACATTTATTGATGTTTTCTATGTCCCCCTGTTCAGTGATGATGTTGAGGAGCCCCTCCATCAGCAGCAGAGCCTTGTGGTACCTCTGTGCGCAGTCCTCTCGGTGGTGGAACATCTCATCCAGGGCTGCGGACTGCACCTGCCGGCAACAACCCCGCGCAAGAGGTCACTGCCAGAGCAGACTCGGCTTTCCCAGCGCAGTCCCTCAGCCGCACGAGCATCTCCCTCACCCAGCGCAGAGCACCTCCCTTGCCCAGCCCCCAGAGGCTGCAAGCAGCATCCCCAGTAAAGCCCTCGGCGAAGGTTAGTGCCCACTGCTGTGCTAGCCCTGCTGCCAGGCACCGCTCGGTGATTACCATTTGTACAGCATAGCTGAAGATGAGCTTCTCTGCGGTGATGCTGTTGATCCGATCCATGAGTTTCTGTTTGTCCAGGAAGAACCTCTGGAGTCTCATGTTGAGGCAGTGGCAGGATGAGACACTGGATTTATAAAGCTCGTTCAGCTTCTTCACAACTAAGGTAAAGGAAAGAAAGTTCCTTCAGTTCTCCCTGTGCCTCCCAGTCTCCATGCAGAGGACCCCAAATGAGTAACGGCAAGGCAACGGGGCTGCGCTCAAGCCAGAAGACTGGCGGGAAGTACTTGTAGTACTTGCTACACCTACAGGGTCTTTCTCCTTCTCTGTCACCTTCAGCCATCAGCCTGCATGTGTGCCTGGTTCACCTGAGGCCAGGTCTGTTTCTGCTGCCTTCAGCTGCCACGAGGCACAGAGCAGCCTGTGCCGTGCAAGACGTCTCACACATCGCCAGAAGCAGCAGACGTGCCAGATACAAAGCTTCTGCTGCTTGACGGGTGATGACGTGCTGCGAACAAGTATGTGACTTGCATGTGGTAGCTGTTGGAGCTGAGCGTGGATGAGCAGCATGGACTAAGCAAGGGAACCTCTCTTGGAACTCTACTGTCCCCAAAAGAAAAGCCACTGATGCCTGTAAAGGCACCACCTTTCCTGAACCCTTGCAGCTGGAAGGTTATGGGACAGAGATTCAGGAATTAAATATGATTCTGGGGAATTGAAGCCAGTGTGTTTTGCCTGTGATGGTAATTGGTGAGTGATTCTCTCCCTGTTCTTGTCTCTATCCACGAGCCTTTCGTTGTATTCTCTCTCCCCTGCCCAGCTGAGGAGGCAGTGATGGAGCAGCTTTGGTGGGCATCTGGCCCCCCACCAGGGCCAACCCCCCCGTCTCCCTGGCTGCATGGCAGGAGCTACGCAAAGTACTGAATACAAACTCCTACCAACATCTGACGAGTATTACCTGCTATGTGCACACCTGGAAACACCCACACTGCAGGATTTGCTCCTGGAGGAGGCAAATTAACCCATACCATGAACTAGCCTCTCTCAGCTACCATCCAGAGGGGCAATCTCACATGACAGCCAGGCCTTGTGCCTAAATCTAGCCTTCCAAGGCAGAGAGAAGAGAGCAGAGGGCCAGAGAAGAGACAGCCTCCAGGAAAAAGGCTGCTGTAACTCTTCATCAGAGACAAGGACCGAGGCACAACACCATAACCCTGCCAGGGTCAGACTGTCAGATCACCCTCGCTCAGGAGGAATTTGAGAGTGAGTGGGAACCCCAAAGCTCATGGGTGACATCAGGAAGGCAAACCGAAAAACATGAGAAAATTCAAGAGAGACTGTTTAAAAACCAAACCAACGCAAACATACAGCAATAACCTCCTCCATGGAATTCAATCAGAGCTCTGCGATGTGCCCAAATTCTTGGAAAAAGGAGGATGGCTGTGGATAGGGACCCTGCCTGACACACACTGCCCAAGGAAACTCCAGGCCAGCGTCTTGTGCTTCCCTGCTTTTTCCACATATATGCGACACAAGTACCTTGAAAACCCTCTTGTCCTCACTGTGCCCTGGAAAAGCTCAAGGGAGCAGTACTTTGTGGGGAGAGAAATAAGAAAAGACAGCCCCACCCGATTCCCACACACTGAAGGACAAATTACACTACAAATCTAGAGGCTGCAATCTGCCCTGTAAAGGAGGAATTTATTTGGATTGTAACAGCTTTCCTGTTAGGCTGAACCTGCAGAAGATGTGCAGCTAAACCTGTGTATCTGCTCCACACTGCCTGCAACGATGTACCCGTGCTCATTGTACTTAACTTCCATTCTTTTACACCCCATCCCAAGGCAGCATGAGTGTTTTCAAAGGCTAAGCTCTCGGGAAAGGCAGCTGAGAAATACTGTAATATTATTGAGAAAGCTCCCTCAGCAACATTACAATGGTAGTTTTACACTTATTTTTCCTCATCACTGACTCACAGCCAGCTCACATCACAAACCAGCCGGCCAGATGAAAATGCAAGGCCGGAGCACTAACAAAGAAGTGACTCCAGCATTACCAGTAGTTTACTTCCTGTGTTTTTGTTTCACTTGAAAGATCATCACTGCCAAGGCAAGACTCCACCTGCCAAGTAAGCACTTCCTGGGACACTCGGGGTGTAATTAAGCTGGACTTACATCAAGTACAAATGAGCACCTGAGAGGTACAAGGACTCAGATAAGATAACATTCCCCTCTCACTAATTAGTGATGAAGCTTCTCACAGGAGTTTTGAGACCTAAAGCCAATGTGAAGAGAGGAAAATTCCCATCGGTGTGAATAAAAAGGACCCGCTGTGCAAGCAACAATAAGAAATAAGCTGCTGGGCCACTCAACCCCCCACCCCCTGCCCCTTTGTGACACTGCAGGTCAGCCCATTGCGCCGTGGGCTGGCAGCTCCTTACCCTGCTTGACAGTGGAGGAGAGGCAGAGCTTGCCAGCTTTGATCTGCTCTATGGCCAACTGCAGCCCTGAGGACAGGAGCTCCGCGACCTTCAGGTACAGCACGAGCTGCTCTGCATAGCTGCAAAGAGAGCACGTTGCAATGAACCGGATGGATGGGCCAGTGGTAAGCATCCCAGAGGACTTCTGGTACCTAGGGATGGGTAGGGTGGGAGGGAGGGACAGAAGACTTGGGAGCTGGGCAGCTTTCCCCAAGTCCTTACCTCCACTCCCGGCTGAGGAGGCTGATCTGGTCGGCCACCACGCTCTCCTGGAGCTGGTACTCGGAGCTCACTGAGCTGCTCATCTCGCTGGAGCTGCCTTTCAGGGCAGCGATTTCCATCACATAGTGGACAAAGGCCAGTGTGAAGCGGAGGCTGCGCAGGATGTCGGTGTGCTCTTGCTGTTGAAGGGATGCCAAGGCGGGGGTTAGAGGGGGAAAGCTGGCACACCAGGCAGGGCTGCTCACCTCCGGATATCCCATCCTAGCTTACAGAAACCCCAAACCCCCCTACACCTTTGCTTTGGGCAGGGACAGCCAAACTCAGCCCCCAGCTCGCACATCGCACCAGTTCCTCCTCCCACAGTAACTGCAGCAAGCACTGCCCCAGGCCAGAAATTTCCACGTGGCTCCCTGAAGAGGCTGCTGAGACTTGCTCCAAAATTACATGCCGCTTTCCCAAGGAGCATCCCAGCTCCAGGGGACTCTTTCAGAAGTCAGCCAGGAAGGAGGAGACAGTGTCTGCATCACGGGCCCAGCTCTGGTCCCTGCCACAGCAGTGCTGGTTCAAAGCTGGAAGTGGGTGTGGGTTTCATGAGAATGACCACCTCCTACACCACAGAAAACTGCAAACACCGCATCCCACCCTTCAGCCCGGCCCCCACATAGCCCTTGGTCTGTGCCTCCTCCCAGTTTGGTGCAGTGAGCCCTGGGTGAGGTCCCTCTGAAGGGACAGCAAGGACAACCCTTTATCTGTAACTCCTTGCCACTTAGCGAGTGCCACACACCCAGCACTACGCTCATCTCAAAGCAGTTTTTCCTCTGCTATTACAGATCAGAGGGGATTATCCCATTTCTGGGAAGCTGCATTGCTTAAGTCACTGAAAACATTTTTGGGAAGTTAGCATTTGTGGAAAAACTGAATGCTTGTGGTCCTAGAAAATGCATTGCTGCCTGGATCAGATGTAACTCCATTGTTTGTACTCTGTAGAGAAGAGGCCAACCTGCTTCATCTCCAAACATTCAGTGGCTCAGCTCTCTCAAATGGGCCTGGTAAGGATGTTTCCTACAAAAATTTGGAAAAAAACCCCAACCCCTATGCTCAAGTTCTGCAAGCTTTTGTTTTGCATGCAGTGGCTCAGGCCCTTGGCTGCTAAGGCAGCGCTGACCGTCTGAAACATGAATTTCTCCTCCCACTACCTGTTACCTGGACAGCCCAGTATGGTAAGGAATTGTTATCTCCATCTTTCTCTATTTTCTTTAAAAGCAGAGGAGGAGCTTGGAGATGAAGTAATTGCCAAGTCATATGAGAAGTTTGTGGCAGAGCAGGAAACTGCTGAGATCGTGCAGGTGTCAGCCTGGTATCTCTAACCAATGAGCAGTCCTTCCTCTCTGCCTATACAGTCAGCTCCTTTGAATTATGCTGCCATTCGTGGCTTCGTTTAGCCTCACAAGAGTCTTTCCTTCCACAACCATCTCCGTACCATGTTTCTAAAGCAATCATAGAATCATAGAATCATAGAATGGTTTGGGTTGGAAGGGACCTTAAAGATCATCTAGTTCCAACCCCCCTGCCATAGGCAGGGACACCTTCCACTAGACCAGGGTGCTCCAAGCCACATCCAGCCTGGCCTTGAAGACATCCAGGGATGGGGCATCCACAACATCTCTGGGCAACCTGTTCCAGTGCCTCACCACCCTCTCTGTGAAGAATTTCTTCCTGATATCTAATCTAAACCTCCCTGATTTCAATTTATACCCATTACCCCTTGTCCTATCACTACAGGCTCTTGTAAAAAGTCCTCTCCCAGTACCCTTGTAGGCCCCCTTCAGATACTGGAAAGCTGCAATGAGGTCTCCTCGGAGCCTCCTCTTCTCCAGGCTGAACAAGCCCAATTCTTGCAGCCTTTCATCATAGGAGAGGTGCTCCAGCCCAATACAAAACAAACTAAACCCTAGCCTTCCATTTGCCTTGTCTGCACCTACAGAAACTTTTCCAAAAAATGGAAGAACCTCTTCTCTTAACACAACAACTCTGCTCGAGATACACGGGGGTGCAAGTTTTCCGTGCCCTGAAGTTCTGCAGAAATCAGGAAATCTGCCAGGTTCGCATTCTGGCCAACTCCACAGAGCACAAAGGAGCCTCAAAATATGCTGTGAAGGCTTGGTGCCAGGAAGGTTGTGTGACATGCAGATGGATTACTGCGCTCAGCAGAAATGATGACCAAATCCAAAAGACTCATTACAGATAAGAGAAGCTGACTGGAGTGGTACTAACTAGACCAAGCTGATACTTCCTTAGGACACATCTCTTCACAGCAGTGTGGAAGTGGTGGCAGCTGGCAGTGCCCCATACTTCTGGGACCTCACAGAGGCAGGATGCTCAGTTAAACTCACTACTGTTGTGATCACATTAATGCTGAAAGTGCTAGCGCTCTGGCTCTGCAGGTAATTAAGCAAATGAATGCAATTCAATGCATAACTAACAAAAAAGAAATTGAGCTAAACAAAATCTGAAGTAGAAGAGCAAACCCACATCCTTAAAAAAACGTAGGTGTATCTCTGCGGCTATCTAGGGGTTTTTTAGCAGCACCAGCAAAATATCTGGTATCTGGTATATTTGTATCTGATACAAAGGGCCTTCCCCAGTGCCAGACAGCCCAAGGAGGCACCAAGAGCAGAGCTGAAACTGTGACTGAATCTGCCTCCCACCTCTACTGCAAATGGGCAGCCTGACCTACATTTCAAATACATCTGAGCTCCAAAAGCAGTTGCTCTTCAAAGCATTGTCTTCAGCCTGCAGAGAAGGGGAGCCTGGCAGCCTTTCAGCTCGACGATCTGGTTCAGCTGCTCTGGCGCAGAACGTGGTGTCCCCCCACCCCCATCACTAAACTGAAGTGTCAGGAAATGTCAGGCTGACTTTTTTCAGATCCTTTCAGCAGAGACCGTATCACTGCCTCTCTCCCCAAGTGCATGCAGCAGGCAGGTAAGCAAAGCTACTCACGGTCTCATGCCAGCTATTATCAGTGTTGAGCCTTTTAAAAGGGACCAGGCCCAAAGTACCCCAGTTTCCTTCAGAAACCATTAATACAGAATGCATCAGATACCTGATGTTTCCAACCTGCAACTTCAGCTTTGGAAACGGTGAATTTTAACCCCGGTCATGGGGCTGCCACACGGACTAAACAGCTTGTTGCGGAGCTTTCTGAGCACTGCAGTGGCCTACATCCTGAAGCCAGTTTGCTCCAACCCCTGGATGCAAACATGGAGTCATCTGACTCCTGGATCTGCTTTACTTGTATTCCCCCTGTCCTTTGCCCCTGACAAGTCCCTGGGATGTACCCACCTCCATGAGCGTCTCTTCAGGCAACTCCGGTGCCTCAAACGTAACAGCGCTTTCCAGGTTGGCAGTGATCGGATCAGCAAAAGCGTACCGGAGACTCGAGGGGCCTTCCGCAGCATCTCCACCCGCTCCCACCGCCAAGTGCCTGCCGGTGAACGAGCCTCCAGAACTGAGCGAGCTAGAAGACCCCACTGAGAAGAAAAACAGGCAGAGGAATCACTGAAGGTATTAGCAGGCCAGTATTCCTCGCCCAGCAGAGGGGACAGTCCTCTAGGTTCCGGGATCCTGGCTCTGACAGGAGCCAGCAACGGGTGCTTTGGAGGAAGACGCAAGGGCTCCTGATGCAGAATAACCACTCCCCAACGTAAGCTCCTCAGCGACTCTGGCACGCTACCTTACAAGTGTAGGCAGATTTAATGCACCTTCCAGAATGTCTGTCATTTATGCAGACAATTCCGAAACACTCTTGGTTTTGTCCACACGCTTTAGGAATCCTGCCATGACATCTTGGGCTGATTTTTATCATACACCACCACAGCCAACTTCCCTATCACGGATCAGCATGGTTCCGTACCTTTTACACTGTCACTGAATGAGCCCCTCTGATAAGTGGGGTTTTAATCACAGTTCTAGAACATCAACCACCTACATGCAAACCAGGAGAGCTTTCCACTACATGCCCTGCTTCCCTCTCTTTACTAACAGGAGGCTGGGCAGAGAGAAATGTGACTTGGGCTGAGTCAAGACCCTAACCTCAGGATTCAGGAGACCATGTAAGTACAGTGTCCATCAGACAATTCCCTCACCATCATCTTTTCCCTGAATCCAGCCTAAGAGCACACTGCATATAAAAGATGGATACTTCAAAAGGAATTTCTGTGTCTGAGCATTCATTATACATTCACCACTTCCAGAGGGCTTCATATCCCCTGACACACTGCCACAGCGGGATGTCAATACCAGCTACAATACTCTGCTAATTCCATCGAGGTGGTATTCTCCACTGACACCGATCCTTTGGAAGGAGATGTTTCTTCTACCCATGAATTTAATTTGCTGCCTTACCCTGCCTTCAAAAGGTTCAGCAATATAATGCACAACAGATCTCCAGAGAGGCAGTCTCCTCTCAGCCCAAAGCTTCCTCTCTGTTGGCACCTATGCTTCAAAGCTAAGTCAACCATCAAAGACTGGCAGAGTATTTCCAGACCTTTCAGAGAGAGGAAAGGACCAACAACAACACATTTTGAATACCCTGTAATTCCAAGGCTGGCTGCAGAAACTGTTGACTCATGAAAAGGCTCTGCCTTTGAATCTGAGAAGTGGTCTTACTCATGGCTTGTCCAAGCACTTGGGGTGCAGAGTTTCAACTCGCTAAGCTCCCCTTTCCACCACGAGCTTTGTGCATTAACCGTAACATACGGAGTTACTGCAGGACCTAAAAAACAAAGCCTGTCAAGCAGCACTGCCTTGACCTAGAGCTGCGTGTATGCCACGGGTTCACTTTGCAAGAGCTTTCTCTTCCAGGCATCCCTTCTGAGGCCTTGACTCTTCGGCAGACCCTTAAGCATCCCCATATCCACCCGCTAAAAACTGTTGTTTGGATCCGCTTCCAAATTGCTATTATTCCCCTCAAAAGCAATACAGGATGAATTCTCTATTCGCAACATTTCAGGACTAGCTAGAGGCTGTAGCCAGGACAGTAACCCCTTGTGCTACAGGACCCTCAGATATTCTGTACGAGTCTCTGCCCTGCAGAGCTTACCCTCTAAACAGACGAGACAAAGAAAGGATTATGGTCCCAACTTTCCAGACAATTAAATTACGTGAGTGGTTTTAGTTACGATGGAAATCCAAGCCATACCCAGGAACTGAGTCCATGTGTCCCCCCATCCCAGTCAAGCAGTTTATTGACGCTTAGATCCAAACCTTCCCTGCAGTAATTAATAACAACAGAGCGACTACATTCAGATGAGGAACAGCCAAGGCAAGAACTCAAATAAGCCAAAAATGCAAATAAAAGTGTCCAAATGTTTTCTTAAACTGAACACAGACTCCAGCTCCCAGACACACTATCCCAAAAGGGCCAATTACCACAGCCTCAACCGTTGTCTTACGAGGCCAGACACTGGCATCTTAAAAGAAATATCTGTCAAGCAGGAGTGCATTTCCCACTTCCCACTTAAGCAGCTCAGAGCATAAGTAACAGCACTAATAATTTTTCATTACAGAGCCATCCTGGCCCTTTTCTAATGATACTCATGCACTGAAATTAATGGGCACGGGTAGCCACGCTTGTCTTTTATAGCTCATCCAAAACCCACGGGGAAAACAGTCAGAATACAACACAATCTTTACATTTGTTGACCTATCAACAACAGTGGGTCTACAAACAGCTGCAGCGTTATCCCTGAAGCAGACAGAAATGAAATAAAGGAACAGTTTGCCTCTCTCTTCCAGTACTGGAAAACCACTGTATGGCGTTGGCCCTTCTGCCAGTGCAAACAGTTACCAGCAATAACTGGGGTTGGCAGGAGCCAGCACGAGAACCTCAAAGGCTGAGCTCCATGGACTGTGCTCTGAGCAGCCCCTCTGCCACCACCAGCGTTCAACTGCAAGGAATTCCACACAGCGCTCTGCCCCCAGGCATTCCCACTGGAACCGGCAGGTAGGTATCAGCCCTTTACCTGAAAACATCCTGGTCCTCGTGGTCTGTGGGGGGGTTGTTCCACTGGGAGGGGATCCGACAGTAAAAATCACTGGGGATGGGCTGGCAGAGCCCCCAGCCCGGGCACCAGAGTGCAGGGTCCCTCCGTAAGCACCTGAGGGAGCTGGGGAGACAGTGGAAAGGTGCAGACTGGCATTACAGGAAAGTTACTCAGAGCATGGTGTGCCTCACCCAGCGGTTTGCTGTTCCTGCAGACTCTTGGGAGACAGTGGTTACCAGCACAGGCCAGCACTCCCTTCGGAGGCAGCCCCTGAGAACACGACCGAGCCAGGCTGGCCTGGACTGCAGGACACGTGCCTGGGCAGCGTTACACACTGCTGCAGCTGTTCTCCCCTCCTCACTTCCCAACCTGCCAAGCCCAGGAAGACCCACCCTTGCAGAGCCATTCACATTCGAGCCGCCTGGCAGAAAGTCCTCACTTCCACGTTATCACATCCAGAAGGGTCCAAAAGAGGAAGCCCTGCCTACAAAAATCACACTACTAGCCAGCAATTACACAGCATGCTCAGCCCACAGACCTTCAGCACTCCACAAAGAAAGCAAACATCACTACGCTCCTCACACATGGCAGTCACTTCCTTGGCCAAAAGCCAGCAGCAAAGCACCCTCTTGGTTGTAGGGGGCAAACTGTTCACCCCAGCCCAGGACATCCTGCCAGATCTGCCTGGCCTCCCCACCTACCTGCAATTTCCATCGGCTTCTCGTTGTTCAGGCTGTCGTTGCTGCCAGCTTCCGAGATCTGTGCCCCAAAAGCTGCCTTCAGAAGCAGGTCAGTGAGCCTGCCTGTGCTCAGAGATCTAAAAAGAGGACAGACAACATAATGCAGAAAGTCAACACGTGCAAGGTTTTGGCTAACTTCCACTCCGGTTTGTGCCATTCCTGCAACACGACACAACAAAGAGTCTGGAGCTGAAATAACCACTCCTCCTGTCTGAATGGAGCATCTGAAGCACCTCCTGCTACTGGCAGAAAACATACAACTACCATGACTAACTGCAGCAACGCAAATACTGACTACAGCGTTACTCTGACACATCTTTTCTTTGGTGGAAAATACAGAAATTAATAACATAGGACTCCTCCAGATCACTGCAGAAATCTGCAGTCTGCAGAGGCATGTTAGAAAAACTTTAACACCTGAGTGACTTTGTATTCTGCAATGTTCATGACTGTCAGCACGAGGTTTTCAGACAGGTCTGAAGGCTGGTGCCCACTGTTTCATAGCCAAGAACACCCACAACACCCTCTCATCCCTGACAGGCACAAGGCCCCACAGAGAGCAAGGCACACATCTGCATAACTGCAGGGAGTCTGGCCTAATAACAAAATCCTTGATCCCCTCTTGATGAAACCCTGGACACTAAACACAGTGTGAAGCTGCAAACAATCTTTCATTTTCTATCTAGGCCACGGCCTGCCCCTGTAGAGGAAGACTTGAAAAATCTGCATCATATCTGCTTGTAACCCACGGGTGAGAGCAGCTAACTGCAGAATGTTTGCAGATGTCACAATACAACGTAAATGTTAGCTGGGGTTTGAAAGCTAGTCCATCTGTCCCGTATCAGGGAACGAAACACTACTGCACAAAGCAGACTATAGCTCACCTGCCCTTGATCTCTTCCACAGGCCTCAATCCCAGGCCAGTCTGCTGGCAGTGGAAATGACCCATCTCTTTCAGATCCGGCAAGGTCTTGTTCCGTGTTGGAGTCATCATGACCCCCTGATGGGCCAAGAGCGTGAGGAGATTCTGGGAACTTGGGGTTTTGGGAAACTCAAACGGGGACACAGCCTAAAAAGAACAGAAAAAAGAGATCTGTCTTTTCAACGAAGGAGGAAGGTTCCCCTCATCCCTCCATTTGTTTATCACAATCAAACTCTATGCTTAACAACCTGCCTGGAATAAAGAGGTAGAAATCCCACCACATGCAGTTACCTGTCCCCAGTGCCAGAAAGACTAAAACAAAAGGACAACAAACTCCGTGGAAAATTTGTAGCAGCCTAACATGAGCAGAGAAAATGCTGTCACAGTGCCAGCTTCCCATGAGACACCAGAGCTGTCACCGCTTAACTGTCTGCCGTCTCCACCGGGGATTCCTACTGCACACGCCCTTGCGTCACAAGCCGAGTCGCGGTGTGCAAACCTGCCCAGCTCACGAACGTGCTTCTGCCTAACCCAGGCAGTTCCTTTTCACTGCCTGTTTAAAACCCTGGACTCCGCTCCGATGGCGAACACTGCTGCCAAGTGAGATCTGTCCGCTAAGAACTAGGACACTGCTCCATTTCACACCCATCACTGAACAGCCCCTGAAGAAAAGCGAACAAGCGTTGATATATCCAGCTCACAGTTACTTGATCATGCAGCAGTTCACCTCCAAAATAAACCAAAAGATGGAGCTGTGAGAAACCCAGAAGCAGCCTCCGTGACATACCTTTGTAGGGGAGCCCATTATAGTTGGCAAAGGGCTTCTCTGCATGAACTCAGACAGCTTCGGTGAGGACCTGAGCTGCCGGCAGTGCTGCAAGCCATGGATCTGCAGAGGCTGGCTGACGGGGGTATGACCGAAGTGAGCAACCAGAGGATCAGAGTGCTGCTTGGTTATATGCAGGAATTCAAATCTGACAGGTTGGGAGCACTGTGGAGCCGGGAGCCCATCCCTCGAGGAGAGTGTTCGGGCGCTGAGGAAGCTGGAGGGTCCAAACAAAGCGAGAAAGCACATAATTTTCTGGTTCTAACACAAAAAGCCAGCCTGATCCCAGGATCCACTGCTAAAACACCCACAGATCAAAGCCTTCGGTGGATGGTTAAGGACAGCACTCTGATCAGAGCCACATCTGCTAGGCCTGTTGGGTTTTGACTCTACAGGAGGCAGAGACGGGCACAACAGGGACATAGAAGTGCAGTTTCTTTCCTTCACTGCAGCCCTTACAGAGAAAGAGACCCTGACTGCCAGAATTCAGCAGCAAGGAAACTACACATCAAGCAGGCTGCCTGGCAGAGGTGGGGTTAGGGGTTTGAGATGCCTTTCCTTCACTCAATCCATTGACTTCAAACTCATAAATTTGAGTGTCTGTGACACAGGGTCTGTCAGCACTGGAAGAGGCTGGGTGACGAGATGTGAATGCATCAACCCCAACTCCTACCAGCACACAGAAATCCTGGCTGGCCAAGCATCAAGAGAAGCTGCTAAAGGTCCATACCCAACCTTGAATGCCCTGAGACTATGGCTCTGGCCTTATCCATAGGAGTAATGAAGGAAGGTAAGGACCAACGCACCGGCAACAGGAATCCGGCTTCTCACTTCCGCTCCAAGAGAAGAGGGGATAACAGTCTGTCTGGGCTGCTCTGGGATCGTTCCAACTTCGAGGAAACACAATAAAAATAGTTTATTCAGTAACAATGCTATGCATCAGGTTTATAGAAAGACGCTAGTTATCTCTCCCATCTTCTCAGCCCTAGCTGTGTAGTGAAAAGGTCAACAACTTCTGCAAAAAGGAGGGAAAAAAAGCTCTGTCTGGTATTAGTTTAGCCAGTTTTAGTCTGACTTTGCAGTGATACTAATTCAGAGGAATTGGATATGAATATTCCGCATTTCCCCACAAGCAAAGACTAATAAATACAGTATCAGAGATATAGAACAGCAGTTACATCTGAGCCTGTTCTCTTGTAGAGAACAGCAAAATATATCAGTTGCACACTGGGGGTTTTCTTTTCCCTTTTCCACTTGAGCTGCTTGTTAGCATCTGGATCAGGCTACCAGACACTGAGACAGCTAATCTGCAGTTTGAACAGTGAAGTTCAAGCCCTTCCAAAGCTGGTTGGAATTTTGCCCTGACAACAATTAGCTTACATTTTTTCTCACCTCAGCCTGAAAGAGTAAAAATACTTTCCACTTACAGAAGCTCTCTTCAGAGGGCAGCAGCATGTTTGATGCAGACACCACAACAAATCCTGCGTCTCCTGAGGCTGATAGGTATTTTCCTCTCGATTTTACTGAGGCCAAAACACTTGTCAAATAATCTATTGAGCAGAGCCATGGGAGAATACAACAATCTGAATTCCCTATTACCTGGCAGCTACTGCTGGTCGTAACCTCCCTCTTTACAGGAAAAAGGCATGCAATTTTATTAGGGCAGCAACACGGCAGTTGACATCTTACCTTGTGGTGATGGCATAAATGGCTTGGCACCACCGAAGGAGAGCTTTCTAGAGCTGGGCACAGATCCATGCTCTCCAGGATAAGGAGGGGAAGCACCAGTTTTAGGAAAACCAAGAGGACTTGTACTGCTAGACCTCCGGACCGTACCAGACCTTAGAGGAAACAACAGCAGCACACAGGTTACTCCACATGTCCGTACAGAAGAGTAAGGAGAAGTACACACACACACACACACGATTTTGCTAAACAAATTATAAGAAAGAATGAGATTAGCTTAGCTGTAAAGCAGGAAAGCCTGTCATTTTCCAGAAGTTACTTTTAGATGCTTTCAGTCATCTACATCAATCCTGAACAAGACAAGAGTTTCCTATCTTGCCACATCCATGGTGTTTATTTTAGGCAGCTTCTTCAGAATGCCCTGAGGGGGCTTTAGAGCGGCCCTCCTGTGCTGAGCCACTCACTCTTTTGTCAGAGCAGGCATTTAGGTAGAAAGCTCCGTGAGTGCCGTGAGTGCGGAGGTAAGCTGTGCCAAGGGCACTGCTCTGCAACACAGCTTTGACTCAAATCAGAAGCTACAGAGCAACACAGAGCTGAGTGTGGCTGTCAGATCTGAGGCAGTTCAGTACCATGCAGAAGTCAGAACCGCCTGGGCTTCAAGTTCGTGTAACTCCTTGTGAAGCCTCACCTTAGGGAATGAAAATTAACTCGTACAGCCCACATGAGCAGGAACCTCAAGTATGACCCAGCTGCTAAAATGAAACAAAAGAGGAAACTAAACTAGGGAAAAGTAAGTATAGCCACACCAACACTCTGGAGAGAGCTGGGATTATTGCATATTGTGCAATAATTAATTATTTCTCCATATTTTAACGTTTTTACCACATGTTAAGAACACACAACCTAAAGTCTATCTATTGAAATGCCATTCTGCCCCTGCAGGCTCCTTCGCCAAGATTCCCGTTACACACCCTGACATGAGAAACCAGTCTTTTCATCAAATCCTTCATTCTACTCTCAATTTGGAAACATCTTTTCACTTGTTAAAAGACCAAGTCTTGCCCAATAGGCTATTTTCTGGACAGAAATTACTGAATATGCTGAAAAACCCCTCTGTACTGAAGCCACTGAAAGATGCTATCATCAAGGTATCCTGCCTCCCTTCCAAGTGACGCTGCACAAAGCTGTCCATACGTATCTGAACAGAAGGAAGAAGAGCGTGTGGGTTTCAGCTGTGCAAGCAGGGCTAGCTACATTACCCAGGAATGGCAAAGCCATCCTCATGAAGTGTCAGTATATCTACTTAACAACACTGCTAGGCATATGTTCTACTTTATGCTACGTTTCAGAAAATAAATACGTTTTTAAAAAGCAAAAAAAAAACCCAAACTATTTCAGTAGTTGAGATAGAAAGAATATGATCCACCAAGCCCCACTCAATTCCTTTCAGTGTGTTACTACGTTTCTCAGCCAATTAAATCCATGGTATATTCACATGGTTGGGAAAGGAAAAAAATAAAAAAAAAAAAAAAGGAAATCCTTTAAGATTTTACCCTTCCCAATCACTTCAGGTTGCTCCAGATTCAGAGGCTTAACGCTCATCAGATGCCTGACCCTGAAGCAAAATCAATACACAAGGAAATGGACACCTGGCAAGGTGAAAAGACACCTAGCCTTTCAGCGGCAGAAAGTATTGCTCCCCCGTGTTTTTAACTCTCCAGAATATAAGCCATCCAGAAGGCTGAATGTTATCCACCAGGAACGTGCAGGACAAAACACCAGCTGACTGCTGCTGCTGAAAGACATGGAATGTCAAATGCCACCCTACGAGACACGGGATAAGCAAGCAAGCAGACGGGCAGGACAGGTGATGTGGCCAAAAGCACGCACACATAATTACCACCTCAACAAGCAACGTATCTACCACAAACAGGCTACGTTACGCAGGCACACACCAGCCGGTCAGGTGACAGCGGCGGATTCTTCAGAAACAAGACAGTACGTCCAAGTTTGCAGTCAAATGACTTGGCAAGCGTGACGAGGCACTTGGCTAGAACGGCCTGTTTGATAGACCTGATGGAAAAGTGGTATCACATACTAAATGCTTGAAGAAAAGCCTTCCCTCCATTCCTGAAGGGTGTCTGCTGAATTTGCTGATTAGAGGAAGTGATGGTGAGAGATAAATATGGCCTCCTGGGGCAGAAAAAAGCCATGACGCCAGAGATTTTGAGAAGATGCTAAAAGCAGAGCGTGAATCATCTGATTGCGTCCATTCCTCAAGTTCCTCTGCAGGGACGATGCTAATCTCATCGTTACACAGCGATGACTAAAGGGAGCAAAACATGCCAGTATGATCCCCAACCGGTAGCTGCAGGCTGTGAACCTGAGCTCAGCAGCCTGTCGCCAGGTCTGGGGTAGGCAGGGTGTGCCCGGGTGCACCTTCTCCTGAGCATTCCCTTTATACACCACATGGATAACACGATGCTCCTGAGAGTTCCAACACTAACAGGATCCTCAAGTCCTGCTGTAAAAAATACCAGACACGTAGGAAATAGGAAGGAGCTTACCACAAAACCTGCCACACACTTGAAGAAATGAACATAAAATAGTATTACAGTAACACTGCCACATAACAATCTCTCTGATGATCTCTGATTATATCAACATATTGTGTCTCTACTTCTGGGTTCCCTTGGAATAAGTCTTACTCTGAATTAGGCTGGCTGAAACCCAAACTTAGGCTGACACAGCTATTATCCTACTTCTGAATCTAATTTTAACTATTCCAGATACCAAAGCAACTCATTCAAAGAAAGACACAACACTTCTGTTCTAATGCTCTGATGTACAAACTCTAAGATCTGTACGAGTGTCCTTCCAACCAGTCTACGACGTAGGCAACCACTGTCAACCCAGAGTTCAAACCTGTCAGGACCAGAAATTACACGTGAGAAGAGACAGAAGCCCTGTGTGCCTTGGATGTTCAAGGCATGACCACTGGACTCAGGTGGTAAGCTGTGCAGCTGAAGGCTGGCATCCGGGTTTTCCTGACAGCCTTCAGAAAACATGGTCTGCCTCATGGGCATAAATGGCTCATGACTTAATCAGCCCTGGCTGCATAACCACGTTAATATGCAACTCGTGTAAGACACATCATCTATGGTGTGACTGGCTACAGGAACCAATTAAGGTAAAGTCAGGTAAGTTCTGCAGCCCCATCCATTTTAGTTATGTATCTCAACTTTTTCCTTTTATAAAGGCATGTACCAGATGGTTGATTCTCTCTGCTTGGACACCCAACTCATAGCTGGCATGGAAAAAGCTGTCAGACTCAAAGGGGCTCAGCCTGTACTGAAAGATGACAGGAGCTGTCTCACATACAGGCACACAGACAAAATTTACAGTACGTGGCAACAAATAAATCTCAACACCGTCACAGAAATATCCCAGCACTACGTTACCACATAACACACACACACACCAGCTCCCCACAGCAAGGGGGAGAGTCCACCACACAGCAACATTTTTAGAGGTGCAGAGAACAAAGTGTAAAGCTTTACAGCCCCTGCACTGGCATTACCCTCCTCCCAGCCCCAGCACTTACCGCGGAGAGGCGTACTGATTGGGAGATTGCAGGTTCTGCTCAATCCGCCGGTAGTTATGAATTTGCGTTGGGACCGGAATGGGCACGGAGTGTCCGTACTTGCTGCTAGAAAACTGCCCTGGCCGGCTGTTGAAAGGAGACACACAAAGAAACACCCTCTTGTCAGGGGTGGCCCTTCAGCCAGGTAATTGGAGGGTTTATCCTCCTACAACAGCAACTGTACAGAGGGAGTGTCCCCTTGGCTGCTCTGGGCTGTGGGTTTGTACTGGGAGGTAGTTGAAAGTCGTATCAAAGGGAAGTGGCATCACACGTCTCCTGAAAACAGCCACCTTTCTTCCAGCACGATTCCCACCCACGGAGTGAAGTTAGAACACACACCCAAGCGCACCACTCCCTCCAGGAAAATTGGAGCCCGGCTATTTCAGGCCACAACTGGCCTACTTTCCAACAGCTCAGATCCACAGCCAAAGAGCACATCATCAAACAGCGACTAAACAGTCGTGGCTCACAAAGGACACCAGCAAGGATTTTGCTGCCAAGGGCTGCTTCCGATTCATGCAGAGGCACTGCTGCAGCAATGGCATCTCCGTGAAAGTCTCAGCACACCACAAAGAGGGCACAAACTTGTGGTGTATTTGCAAGTTAACTACAGGTTGAAGAAGGCAGCTCTGGAGAGAATAAATCTGGGGGACAGGAGCTGGTATCTATATTCCTGCCAAGGTCAGCTAGAATAACACACACAAAATGGAACAGGCCCATTCTGCAAACATCAGACATCTTTCTAGTTCCTCCAAGCAGGTTAATCAGCCCACATCTGATATCTATTCCCCTGGGTGACAGTTTCCCCTGTTACTCTTAGCCTGTACACCACACTATACACAAACCATGCTACACACAAACCATGCTACACAAAACCCATGCAAGCACCACATTTAACTAAGCAGCTGCCTAGAGTCTTTTCCCAAAGGCTCCAGAATTCTAGGATTAATTGCCATGGAAATGCTATTTACAACTGCCAACACCAATTGCAGGGATGTTGCACAATTACAGAAAGATCTTCTTAGTAATGAAGGCTTCTGTAGTCTTCCTTGTCAATTGAGGACACATGCCTGGGTTTGCCCCCGAGAAGCAGGAAGCATCACTTCTTTGGGTCTAACGCTTGGAGTGGAATTGTTTTCCATAAGATAAAAGCAGGAACTTAATTCAGCAAGAACATACATACGTGCACAGAGGAAGAAAGAAGAGTTTGTGACATAAGCTTCCCATCACCAGAATTTATTTTTTAGGGAAGGTCAGTAGTACTCTGTGGTTTACAATGACAGTGTTGAACAAAGCTGACCTCCAGGACTGTACACATGAAGACATTCCTCTGTCACAATATAATAACTGGAAGAGATCTTTCATCAAGGCCAAAAGATGAAAAAGTGATTCAGATTTCTTTGCTCCTCTCTCCGTATGTCTACTAATTTTTAAAGTTCTATATATTCTTCCTTGTGCGCTCTTACTTCTTCCACCAAGAGAACAGACTCTTAATCTGATGCTTGTCTCTAAAAGGCACATGGAAGCCTTGGCTCTTCATTGACATACAATATAACAAAGGCATTCAAGGTTTCTGATTGCTCGGCGGAAAGGTGAGGCTTCGGTGTCTCTGCCCTCCATTGGTGTAAGACATGGTGTCACACAGACATTAAGCCAACTGAGCTTTAACCAAGAAATCTGAGCATTAATATCAAACTTTGTACCTATCCTGACTTTCAACACACATTTCAAATGCTATCTTTTCCATCTGGTCGGAATCCTTTGGAGGATTCTCAGGTGAAAGGATGCTCCCTCTCCCCAGGAGTTATATCACGTCCTTATAGGAGCCAGGTTTCTCCACAAGGTACAAGTTGCAAAAGAAAGGATCCAAGCGAGCTGACATACCAAACCTGCTAATTGGCCTCAAGTGTCGAAGAACACAATTGACCATAAATTTGCAAAGACCAAGAGATAAAGCAAGGACAGGGAGTTTAATTACTTGGCAGTAATTAAAAGCTCTTTGAAAATGGTATTAAATCCACTGCTGTGGGATACATCCAAGAAAGTACCTTTCATTAGACTTATTAAGCATTTTCAACAAGAAAGTGTTTAAAAAAAGAAAGAAAAAGATGAACTGTCAGCATATTTTAACTCTGCCTAGTCCTTAAGCTTAGGTAACAAGGAGAGCTGCTCTAGAGCGTACCGTGATAGCCCGAGGAAAACGCGCTGCTGGCCACTCTAAAATAGCCTTTGCTTTCTGTCCTAGTTGGACTGCATCCAGCACTGCTTGCGAGCCTAGAGCCACCCACGAAAGGGAGAACTGCTGCTTGCGAGTGAGGAAAGAGAGGGAGAGAAAACCAGGAGTCTCCTGTGCCAGTGAAGCAGAGTGCTGAATGAACGGGCCTCGTCACATCTGCAGCGAAGGACACAGCTGGGTGGCACCAGTTCAAAGCACTTGCAGGGGACAGATCAAAGATCACGCTTTACACTCTGGATTCGGAGTGACTGCTGCGATCTTTCATCATTTCTGTCTTAATTCTCCATCCTGGACAGGGTAGGAAGTAACGTGACAGTATTTCTTCAAAGCAGGTAGACAAGTGGGAAGTAGTACTGGACAGTTTGGCATCTGCTCCACAGAAGCTGCTGGGAATGAGTAGGAAAGGCAGGGAGGGCAGAAATGTGTTTAGCTTTGCTGTCAGGGTTGACTTGCTACCTTGTGATCCAGTTAAATATGATGAGGCCAGTTTGGCGAAGACGGTGAACAGTAGGCAGCATTTGTAGTGAAATTCCATGAATTCTCACTCAATGCTGTCCAGAAACAAGGCCAAATCCTTTAATAAAGACTGATCCCCAGAACGCAAAGGAATCAGTTAAGGAATAAGCTGTTAAAAAGCTTAGCAGGCGATGGCATAAGAAGCCTCATGCAATTAAACTCCACACTGTGGTACGTGCTTGCCAATTAATCTGATCACGGTCAGCAAGGCTTTGAGCTATAGTTTTCTTCTTTAAATGTATATGCTTTGAGGCTATGTTTTGTCATCTTCTGGACTTTGTTTGCATAAAGAGCGTGTTCAACACATAGCCTGGGACTACACTGTCTCCTTAAGAAAGATTTTAAGGTCATCCACCTCCCAGTGTGAAATCCCCTTCAACTCTCCTCCCCCAACAGGTGCCATACTGACAGAATAGAAGATGAAAGCTGTCCTGCTTCTCCAGGAGGCAGGAATGAAATGGGAAGCAATGCCACCAGCTCCCTGTACGCTAAGCACGTACCCTGAAGCTTCAAGCTCTAGAGTCAATGGGATCACCTTCCACAGACCATTGACGTCTTCTGAACACAGATGCGTCTGGAGGCAGTGGCAGCGCTGGGCAGCTGTCACCTACGGTGTTTCTAGAGCCTAAAGCTGAGTTTATAGCAACCGGTTTAGTTAGAACTGAGCCCATGACCACACCTGTGTGCACTTGTTACCCCTACTCCTGCCTCCCCTATTACTAAACAAGGCCCATGTAGCAGCATTACGTCATACAGACACAGTACAAGGAGATGTTCAGAGCTTCAAGCAAACTACAAACAAGTAAGCAGGCCCTGATCTGTCCTTCAACAGCAAGGGGAGAAGAGCAACACCCCTCCACCTTTGCTCTCTTATCCCTTACCCAGTAATTCAAGCCTGTAGTAGGTTCAGCCTCAGCTGAAGCTGTGTGCTAATTCACTGCATGAATTCAGAAGCAAGGGTCTGTACCTGGAATACTCACTGCCTCTGCAGGCTGAGCACAGAGGGGATGAGTAGCACATACATGCCAGTGGGGTACATTTACTTTCTACTTGAGAATAATCCTTGCCCGCCCAGGGAACAGAGTTAATTCCAGCTCTACTGCATTCTCTCCTAAGGGCCAGAAAAGGGAGAGACAGGCCCTGTAGTTGGGACTGGTAAGTGCCCAAGGCTGGGGAGTTTCTCCTGGGTACCCTTTAATTATAGGAGAGATGTGGCTCTTGCCCAGCACACCAGCATCTGTAAAATCCTCTCCTGGAAGTCAATTGGTGTTCAATTAATCAATGTTGCATAGTCACCACTGAACAGTCTTTCTTACCTGGACGGACTAGGAGAACTGCTGTATGGGGGTGAAGGAGATGGTGTCCTTCCCTGGCTTTCCAAGCCTGCTGAAGTCACCAGAGAACTCCTGAAGAATGACAGAAGGCACCCAGCTGTTAGAGCCTGGGAACCAATCCTGCCCCCTCCCCCCCAAAGCACAGCAACAGATCTGCATCAGCCCAGCACCCTCTGCTGAGCCCAGTCGTAGGAGCCCCAGGGACTGTCATGCTGTCCCACATACACTCTGGTGTTCAGGTCAAACTGAAGGTGTCAGACCCAGGCAGGTAACAGTCACCCCCGAAACAGAATTTAACTCAGCAACAGTGTCCCTGCCACCCACCAGAACCCCGAAGGTGCTACTGCACAGTATGCTCCAGGGCTAAACAGTTCCCGCTGCCTCAGTGCTCTTACCCGCTGTACATCAGACTGTCCTGGATTGGCTTCCCTCCTGCAGCCTCAGCAGTTAGATCACCTGAGGAACAAGGAAGTGCAGAAAAATATTAATTTGAGATTATTTTCTTTAAAATCTTTATATATTCAGAGCAATTGAGATTTTGGGCAGAATTCCCTGCTCCTCCAAGACCTGTTGAGCTGCCTCTGAAGTCAGCGTTTTGCCAAATACATGGGGGCTGAAGCTGATGTAAATGCTGCTTATCCTTATATCCTGAAGTTTTGGAAAATGTAGGCTGTAAGGGAGCCAAAACCTGACAGCATCATTTGAGCCAACAGGTATACACCCACTTGGTGCCAGCAATCAGCTGCTTTGTAAAAAGAGAGTGGTATATGTCACACGTAGGTTTGAAACACCCATGTCCTAAGTAGCAAAACCCCAGGGCAGCCAAATGAGCTGGCAGATTGGCTACACAACACTGGGGTGTTTGTGCCTTTGTCAAAACACCTGAACACTGCAAATATGGCTAGCAAAAGACAAGTATATACTGGTGTCATTGCTGTTCCAAGGAAAAATACAAGCAACACCAAGCTCTTCCTTATCATAAGGATTGCACAGCAGAGACCTTTCACAGGTTCCAGTTCCACCCTTCCAAATTCCTGTTTTAATACAAGTAGTGCAAGTGCAGAAGGAGGAATCACAGCATTTATCACCAAGTTCCAGCTCATCAAAGTATCATACACATGGTCAAGGTTGAACAATATCCTTCTGCTGGATAAGGACGGGCTCATGCACAGACATACTTAGGCATGTGGCTGAACTGGGCCCTGGCCTCTATGTACATGTATATTGTCAAGCAATTGCTGTCAAACTATAAACACACAGAGATGCTAAAATGAAATTCAAGATGTTTATTATTCAGTCAAAACAGACAAGTTTCATCACTCTCTCAACTTTCTAGTAACTATCCTTAACATCCCCATCTCCCTCTGTTCAGAATGTCTGCATTTCCAGAAACCAGCTTACTTGAGAACTGTGCTGGGACCATAACAAAGTCATCTGTGTCACAGGATGAGTTCTTACTGCTGCTTCCGGCAGATTCCTTAGATCCATGCAGAAAGCCAGGGGAATCCTGGGTAGGAGATGCCAGTGCCTTCTCCTGCAGCTGCTGCTGCATCTCTCCAAGGGACTGCTAATTCAAGAAGAAAACAAACCCTGGCTTCAGTACAGCTACTTCATCATTCTGCTCAATCCTTTAAACTGAGTTGTAAAAGGCTACAAACAACATTTTGCTGATAAACCAGGGCTGACAGTTTGCCAGAAGCAGCTGTTTAGTTTACTGGAAAAGAACAGCCTTTTATGTCCATGTCAGAACAGCGCATCTTTCGTTACACAAAACATACTACCAGCGTGTCTGATGCTCCCCAGATAAGAAAAATTTACTTGAGGTATTGCATCCCCCTGCTAAAGCTTTTTAGATCAACCACGCATTTTCTACCAACTCAGTTTAGTATGGCTGTGAAAGAGAGAAGAGCTTCAGAGACACCTTTGGTGGTTCCTTTGGGTTATGGTGTTTTGTTTTGTTCTTAAACACCTGGTCTCTGCAGCTTTTGCAGAAGGCAGCGCTTGGTAACACGTACCTAAGTGTCCCTGCACTTTCAGGACAAGACTGTTTTGCTGTCGTACTGGTAAGCGTTAAAGGAAGGCCTGAAGGAGGCTAAGCATTCAATAAGCACCTCACAGCCATCAGAGTCAGGACAGATCCTAAAAAGTCCCATTTTTCTGCTTGCTTCAGCCAAATGGTGAATAGCCCCACAATCCTCATGTTCTGCAGACAGATGGAAGAGGCCGGGTGGTTTAAGAAAGCTTTAAGACAGCTGAACTGCCCACAGAGCAGATCGCAATCTTTATCCTAATGAATTTTTAGGCTGAGAGAGACTTGAATCAGCTTTCACTTGGGCCCTATTAATACCTTATTCACTCTCTAAAGACTCTCCTGCTGTACCAGTGGGGACTCTCTCTCGCTGTACATGCAGTACATACAAGCAGAAGGAATTTTCCCACTGTCAAAACCCTCTTTTCCACCCAATCTGCTAGCTTTGCCCTGCAGAGGTGGCATTTGTCATGCGCTGAGCCTGCATACCTTCATCAGCAAAACTTCAAACTGCAAAGCAGGACTGGTGCAGTACACTTCTAAGGTGGGACCCCCTCCTGGTCTAGCAGCGAGTCTGTAAAGTGGTCTCAGCCAACCACTCAGCCACTTCGGGCTGCAGGGGGGAAGAAGCTCTCAGGGATACAGCTATGTGATATTCAGGGGAGAGTAGACCTCTCCTCTCTGTCCAGCCCACATCGTAAGCACCTACATCAACTTCTGATAGTGACTCTCAGCCACTCCCACGCCAGGTTGAGATGCTTTGTCCCAGGGAAACTCAGAGAACAAAGCAAAAAAGTAGTAAAGCCAGGGAGGAAAAAAATTCAATACTTCTCCCTTCCCCTTCCTATCACACCACACCATTCCTTAGTTCAAAGTCAAAAGGCAGCTTTCACCAAGAGTCTCCAAAAACCAGCTTTCAGTTCAGTGAGCTGGAGGAATATCACTTCACTGGTCAGTTAATATTCTGCCCTCCAGGAAAAGGTTTCATCAAAGGTTTCATCGTGTCAGGTAACCATAGAGACAAACTGTGAGTTCAGATCATCTCTCACACCACCGGCCTGTGGCAGGTCTGGTCTGAGCAAACAGCTTTGCTGAATGTCCCTCTGTGGTGCCTGGGAATGGTGGTCAGAGGAGGAGGGTTGGTCACCTTACAAAGAAGGGTGGATACGCTGTCAAGCTGCAGAGACTTGGCTTGAAAACGGAGAACTTGCAGTCAAGTAAGCAGTGCTATACCTTGAATTAACGGCTGTTTGGTTCCACAGAGCTTTCCATCGCTGGCAAGACAAGCTCGTGTCATTAATACCAGCTTCTTTCATAAAAGCTTTCCATGTTTTTGCAACAGCAAATTGAAATATTTCTTATGTAGAGAAAGACAACCTTTGGGATCCAAACTCTAAAACAGACTGGAGAAGACACTGAACCAAACCCAGGCAGAACTGAAGTGTGCAGTGACTTGCACCAGACGACAGCAGAAGCAGAGACCTTGCTTCGAAGCAGCAAGCAGGGAGACCGTTAACACAAACAGTGCATCCTCTGAGCTGTACTTACAGGAGGTGATGCCAGGTGGGAAGTAGAAGAGCTGCTGGAAGAACTACCGGAGCCTGAACTGGGATAAGAAGGCATTGGCACGGAAGCAGCTAGAAACAGACATTAAAAAAAAAAAAAAAAAAAGCTGTCAAGCTAAGACCAATCAGCAATAAAAGGTCTTTTTCATCTTGTCCCATCAGGTTTATCTCACGTACCATCATGTAACAGATATGGCCAATTAAAGGAGAACAAAAGTAAAATTAGCATTCTGTCCAGTTACACGATTCACATCCATCCACTCCTCCACACACTTTTTCACAGTTACAGCTCTTGGGGTGGAAGGTCTCAGAGCTTGTCCTCTCAACACCTGACCTACACAGGTAACAAGATAGTTTCTGCCCTAAAGAGTCCCCAGAGCTGCTTTGAAACGAAGGGAAACAGCAAAGTGGACAGAGTGAGGCATGTCCGTGGCAGAGGTTAGAAGCTAGACCGTACCCTCACAGTCTCCTTCTCATCAGACTTTGTGGCTTAGCACACACCCCCCAAATGCTGGGAGGTCTGTGCAAGCCCTGTGTGCTCGCTGCCCAAACACTCACTTGGGCATCCCAGGCCACACGCTACGAAAAACCCCACAGAATTAATCTTTCCACAAGGAAATAGTTCACTGCTCAACACATTCTCCTGTGGTCACTTCTGCAAGTTAAAGAGGTTTTGCTTATTTGATCTCTGTACAGAAATTGTGCCACAGCACTGGCTGTTCTTGCATCCCTTCCTTTTATGCTTTATTGTTCAATATCAGAACTGCTCATTTGATTCACTTCTTCGTTAAACTGGACTTCACAATCCTCACAGGAGTATAAAGCTCACCCTGAAAGGACAAGTTAGCATTGACCTTCAGGCAGAAAAGACAATTAAGGCATCACAGGAGAAAAGAATATTTAATTCCAATGGCTTATGCAAGTGAGGTTTAGTGAATAACTTCGAAGAGCTCATCTCAGCTGAGGAAGATAAGTCAAAGGTAACACTGGCTCTTTAACAGATTCTGAAGTATTTAGTGGTTCAAATTCCACAGTCCACCCGTACAAGACTGTACAGAACAAAAGTTGCAGGAGAGTCCGAACATCCCCACTTCAAGGCAGCAAAGTCAGCTTTTACTCTGCAACCGTTTTGGTATTTGAATGACTGGAGGGAGAGACCGGAGGCAATTCTGAAGTGAGCAGGGGAACACTTTGCTTCGCTTCTCTTCCATTGTGCTGGCAGAGAAGCAGCACCTTGTATCAGATTTCTGCCTTTACAGGATCTGTGCTGACAACTCCATACTTACTACAAGAAGGGTTAATCACACCTGGAAGAAGAATGCTTCTGTTTGAAGTAAAACTACCTCCGTCATTACTACTACAAAGTACTTACTCTATTCAACTGGCTAGAAAAATTAAAGTACATCTCTGCAATTAACTGTTGAAACAGTTTTCTAATGATAAAAGAATAGGAAAAATAGGCCTTTTAATAAAAGGCTTCAAGAAGTTTTCCCATGTAGCCTATCAAAGAAGGTTAAAGGATGACTGGACCAAAAGAGAGCAATCACTCAGATGCTGAATTCCCCAATCTGACAGATGTAACAAGATCTAACACGAAAAATGAAGCCAAAGAAGTGTAGGTTTAAAATATATGTTTTAACATAAGTAATGAACCACGGTAACAGCTTAACCAGGGTCACAGTGATCCCTCCGCCCTTGGCTAACACTAAAAGCAACAGAGTGTTTTCCTAAAGAGTTGAAGTTGTACTGCAAATAGAGGTGGATTCAGCAGTCCTGGGACTTGTGCAACGGGACAGCAGGATGGCTGCGTGGGGCTGGTGTGCGCCGACACACACAGACGCTTCCCCGTCTTGTGCTGGACCATACCAGCAGTGCTCACCCTGCCAGCGTTTTGATGCTCAGGTCCATAACGGATTCAGTCTTTCCAAAGCTTTCAGAGAGGGTTTTCTTTAGTCACTTTTCCACACTTGGGTTTGTGTCCTCGATGGACTGTGCTGTTAACACACACTGCTCTGGCCCCAGTAAAGGAGCAGGAAGCCCTGACAATGGGTGTTCTAGGGGCTGGTCAGGGGGTTGGCAGGGAGCACTATGCCACCCGCACCCCATGCACTCCTCCAGCACAGCTGGGTCCCATACCCACGCTCAGGGAACACACACAGAGCCCTGAGAACTTGCCTGGGAAATGCAGAGCTCTGTCCTGCCTACAGCACGCTGCTTGTGATCTCCATGGCCTGCCCATAGAGCCTGCAGAGCACTCCCATGTACCTTCCCTATACATTTAATACTAGAAATCTGTGAAGAGGAGGAAGTCTCCCCATTTTTATCCTGCCAACTGTTACAGAACAATTTACCCTTGTACAGCCTAACTTTCCTATCATGGAAAGACACTTTTAAGAAAAGGTAAGCCATTTCTGAACTCTACCCACACGTGCCTACTGCAAACCTTGCATCACTGTTCATTTTTCCTGGAATTAGTATTTTTGTTAAGAGTCATTTCAGTTCTCTTTCAAGGTCCCCTCCACTCTATTTTGGTTCTGTGTTTATTATTGATTTAAACCTGGTTAGAATTGGCTCTTCTATTTTTGTCTGTTTGCTTTGGACAGCTTTCCATTAATCCAGGAAGGAAGACAAGCAGGCAGACTTTGCCACTATCATCTGAAACTGAAGTCAAAACTATCTGCATGAAGCGCACCTCTAGCTACAGCCGCTATTAATCATATTCTTATTTAAAACCCTGCAAACTCCCCAAATTCACACTGTAACGCTGTGAGGTCCAACTCAAAACATCCTGACACTAAACCCAGACTTTCATTCTTGTAGAACCATGAGGTTTGGCTCTGACAAACCCCCTCTGACCACCCCATCCCTGTTGGGGCGTTTTCCAGCATCAGTTGCACAGGGACAGCTTGAAAGCAAGAGGCTGGCTTCCATCTCCTCCACACACCCTGGCACTCCCAGTTTAAAAATTAAAAAGGGTAAAAACACTTGGCTCATCATGTTTTCAGCTCAAGTCTGAATGCAGGGAACGTTAACATGAGTTGTAGGCCCCCACCCAAATCCAGAAATTGCTGGATTGTAATTGTAATGTAAATAAGTCTGTTTTCATAATTGTCCTCTCCAACGTGTTCCAGCAACAAAACAGTCATCCTGGACATTGCGTAACCAATGCCAACTGGTTTCAAAAGGAGAGCGCTGGAAGCCATAAAGGCAAGCCTGTGCTCCCAGCTGGGTAGATCTGGATACTGGGTCCTGCACCTGCCAAAAATCACTTCTGACAGATCATCCTACCAGGGACTTGGTTGCCCTAAAAACATCCAAGCCTCAAGCTTTTATACGAAAGCTTTATTTGGAATTTGTGTTTTACACACAGTGGAGAGATGCATTTTTGTGATTATCTGGACTGAATTAAAACCAGTCATCAAAAAGTTGTTTAACTGCAGTCTCTGACAAGGCAATAGGTTTGAGTGCAAAGGACTTGCCCAAGGAATAAGCTGCTTTTTAGAGTTTAAAAATTTACACCATTAAAGTCTTTTACATGCAGAAGCCACGGTGATTTTTTGCTAGTTTTTACCTGCGTATTTTATGTACAGTAAGATTACAAAGATGGTAAAGGTCAAGTAAGCCAGACAGCTATCCCAGAACACTTCTGAACCATAACCACTCACGTTTCATGCTCTCTTAACTCAAAGAGGTACCACCTTACCATTCATTAAAGGCAGGAGTAAAAAAAAACTCCAAAGTCTTCTGCATGGGTACCAATTACAATGTGTTTACTGAGAAGACTTGCCCAAGTGCCTAATTATGCCTTCTCATGCATTATTACTGTAACACTGCCCCGTACCATATGCTGATCAGACCTGGCTACAGCCAGAAGACATTCTGACTAGACACAGCATTTTAAAAACTTTATTAATAAATTTTTTTTACACACCTAAAGTACATGCTTAGTCACAGGTACAAACCCCATGGTATAAAATAAAATATAAACAAACAAAACCCAAAGTACATGTTTTGGTTAAAGCCCAAGGCCCTGAACCCACACTCCAGGCTAAAGTCTGTGGCAAACAGCTTTGTGGTATGGCCTGGATAGCAGCAGCCTTGTGTCCCTGCTTCACTAAAGCAGTGAGATGAGGAGGGAGACAACAACCATCCCTCAAAAACCGTAGTGGGGAGGACGAGCTTCTCAGGAACATCACAAAGATGCTGGTACAGATCATCCAACTAACTCTCCTAAGAGAAACATGTACACTCAAATGGGAATGACTTAGTCCTGCTTCTACCAAAGTCAGTGGTAGCCCAATTATCAGCTCCTAAGGAGAAAAAAAACCCCACAAGGGCACATTTTTCCTCCCCCTAGTTCTCCACAGCATCCCTGAGGACTCTAATTCAGTCTGAGCACAACCATCACAATTCAGATGCAGCCACCTCTCTTCTCCTCTTTCATAATTCCTGTGCTCGTGATGCTGAGCTGCATGTTGAGATGAAGTAGCACAGCAGACTTCTGGACTCATCTTCGTTCTTCAGGCAAAGCCAGGGAAGCACCTGCAACCTTGCTAAGTCCCCTACTTCAGCTAAAACAGTGCAGATGTCAAGCAGCATTCCATACATCTCGTGTGAGCTTCCCTTATTGAGATCACCATAACCCAGAGCTTTGGAGATGCACTGGGTCTTCTCTCTCATATTCAGTAACAAAAAGGACCACCATTCCCACATGCAGCCGCCTCATCCAGGCTCTTCACTGCACTTCAAGGTCTTTCTTCATCCATCACTGCCACCTGGCAGCAGAGACCACAGCAGACTACACGAACCATCTTCTCCACCAGATGATTTCTGTGCACACCACCTTGAAGACTGCCAGCAATGAGGAGATATTTCTCCCCTCATCTTTTCAAAGCCAGTAGTGGTCTCTCCTGCCTGGAGAAGACCCCAGGCTGTGGACATATGCCTGGAGCTGTGGGCCAGCAGGGCAGCAGAGAGGTCTGCAGTTCATATAGTCCTTACCTGCCTGTAAAGGTCCTTTTTTTACTGGGCCTTGACCCCACACCATTAACTTTGGTGCAGCTGGGGGCAAAGGCTGAGCTACAGTCCCCTGCTCGTAACAGTGCCTCTGGCTGCTGCACAGCAAATGTGCAGAAGGTGGAAACCGAGGCCAAGCCAGGAGAACCCTCTCCTGTTTGCAGTGGGATTTCTGTTCCACTGGCCAGAGAAGCAGTGGAACTGCCGGAGGCAAGAGATGAGCTGGTGGGGATGCAAGGACGTGCTGAGGGAGTCCTCTGCTTGCAGGGGAATGAGACTTTGCAGGACTCTTCCCACACAGCGGTGATACAGCAAGTGCCGAGAGCTGAGCTGGCTCAGGAGCAGTCCTACATGGGCAGAGTGCCTTCCTGCCTGCACAGCACACCTGTTTTACAGGGCTCACCCCGCATCTTGCTGGCGCAGACGGAGAGAGGGGTTTGGCTGGCTTGCAAACTCCCCTAAACCAGAAGCGTCTTTTCCTGCCCGCAGGACGGTCACCTAAGTGCACAGTTAAAATCTGCATCAGGAACAACTGAGAGGTCTTGCTCTGGAGCCAGGGAAGCAAGAGACTGTCAGGAGTGACATGGTCATCAGACAAGGGGCATCCACCCACAGCACATATCCAAGGTGGGCTCTGTGTTCAGAAAGCATTGGCCATGCTTCCTCCAAAGCTTCCAGCCCTTGCACTGGGCACCCAAATCAGTCACTGATGAAAATTCTTGACTATCATTTACTCAGGAGATTAAAGCCCAGGAAGATCCTTCCAGAAGACAAAAACCATACACAGTTTCCCTAAACCAAGTCTCTTGACCAGAGGACTATTATATCACATATACTAGAAGCAATTCTGAATGGTTTTCCACCAAAACAAAACTTCTGAATAATAGTATGTGGTTGAAAATTTTCACAAGTTTTGAATCAAAAGAGTAAAGAAATAATTTTCAATGGAAAGTGTCTTTGTTTTAGACAGTTCTCACAGAACACCCAAACTGAACCCTTCTAAAACAACATGTATCAAGAATTTGGAGATAAATGCTGAAACAAGATTTGGTAACCAAAGCCTGACAGTTTGCACAGCCAACCTAAGGTACCACCAGGCAAGCAGGGACAAGAGAGACAGCTTCCACCATTCACTATCCTGAACTGGTCTGCAGATGTGGATGAAAAGCAAGATCACGGTGCGTAATCCTGTTTACCTACAGGCATCCCCACTGGCCAAGCACTTCACACAGGGCCGCTGAATACATTTCAAAGCTACGTTTACTTCTACTTTAGGTTTCTAAATAGCCTCCTAATCATCCCTTTGAAGATAACTCAGCACAATTAATATATTTTGATGGTGGCAAAGTCTGGACACGACACAGGAATGAACTAAGAAAACATAAAGCAGTCTTTCTTTCCTTTTGAACTAGCAGCAAAGGAAGTCATGCCATGGTTCAAAATGAGCTGTAATCAAAAATGCAACACTTACATTTTTTCATAGAGGCACTTGCATCCAAGAACGGGTGATGGAAAAATTCATCTGAAAATAAAAGAGAACAATGACTCAGTGAAAGGAAATGACTGTAAGAAGTTTACAGAGTAGCTAAAGCATAGCAAGTTACAGTATTTTACAGTGATTTTTCCACGCAGTCTGGTCAACCATGGAAGCTGACTGTCAGTGGCTGCGTACAGTAGTGGTCAAGAATGCAGACTGGGGGCTGGACCTACTCATAAAAAAAAAAGGATGGAAAATTATTTGGATCCAGGGACTGCTATTTAAGTATGAAAACGAAATAAGTGTCTCCTGTGCTACCAGCCATCTCTGCAAAATGAGCTGTGGGGAGGCAGAGAAGGGAAATCAGCTGAGGTAGTTACATGAATGAAGAAATGGAAGGGATTAAAAAAAAAAAAATCTTCGCCAAAAGCACGGCCAAAGGACATGTGGGTTTGCACCCTGGGACTCACCACCAGTACTAACGGACTTTCTTTCCTCACAGGGCATTAAAGAACTCAAAGGTTTCGCTGCAAGCTACAACCCTGGGCTGCCAGGGAGAATACATTAAATTGTTGATGCTTCTCTGCCTTGCAACGGCTCTTGCACTTGTAGGAACAGGCACCAGTTCTTGAGGGCCAGATAGTGTGACCGTGTCGAGATGTGGCATGGCCACATCTGTGTGTGCGCATCGCAGGCGCCTATCGGGAAGGAGAGGGAAATCCTAAGGTGCAAAGTAGCACTAAATACAAAGTCTCTGGCTGACCAGGATCAGTCATCCTAATTGAAGGGACCCAGGGGAGCTATGTTTATCACACTGCACTGCCACTCATTCCACAGAAGAAGAATGGTGGCTGAAAGTACTTCCACTGAGCGATCTTTCATCACACACAGACCCAAACCCATCGTGCAATGAAGGCAGAAATGCATTTTCAGCCTAGAACTCTCTTCCTTTCACACCAGACAGAACCACAACTTTCTTCACTCGTTACAGGAAGATATTCTACAGATCCAGGCCAAGCAAAGCTTCTGTCCTGACTTGCTGGAGACCCTCTGCATGTCTGCCTGTCCTCCTCCATCTCCGACCCACTGCAGCTCTATGTCAGTCCTCTCCTATCGCCATCAGCAGCTCAGCCTTTCAGCAGCGTTAGTCATGGATCAACACGGATTATTTGGCTAACTGCAGGCAGTTCAACTTGTTTTCCCAGCATGGATTTCCTGTTGCAACACCCAAGGTTTACAAACTCTTGTTCTCTGTAAACAGCTCCTCTTTGGCCAGTGAGCTTTCCAGAAAGTAGCAACTGGGATTTTTGTTTGTCTGCTTCTGAAACTTAAACAATCCCCCTCTCTCCAGCCCCTCCTTGCCATGGTCCTGCAGCCAGGGCACATGGGTCTGGAGCTCAGCACAACAGAAGCGATGAAAATTTCTGGCAGGGAAAGCTGCAATCTCAAAAATTAGATCTGCTGGTGGATGGAGACTATCCCTTATCCTGCCAGGAGCTGCTCAGCTGTGGGAGCTTCCTGCTGCTTCAGCCTGCTCACCTGGGGGGTTCCATCCCTCAGCTCAGCTGATTCAACTGAGCAGGTGGAAATGATGTTTGTTCACTTTTCTCCCTTATTCCTCCAAACTACTTATTAGCTGTGCTTGCAAAGCCAAATTTAACAACCCTGCTTGTAACCATCAGCAGGGAACTTGCAAATTAAACCCCTCCTGGCCTTCCTCTAGATAATCTTGAGATGGCAAAGACCATCAGGTCCTGGCAGAATGGCAACTGAGATAAGCTTGAAACTTTGTTTACTTGTGTATGTGTTGCTGTTGTGTGAATCAACTAGGATCTAGGGGAGCTAGATGGAGGGCATTGCACACACCTACTGGCAGAGTACACAGGGCCTTAGGGAACAAAAAGCAGTAGGACACCCTGCTCTTTTGGGGACGGTGGCTCAGGAATCATCCCTCAACCAGCTCAATGCATGAATCTTCCTTTGCCTTACAAAGCACAGGAGGGCAATGGAGCAGTGAAAAAGGGCACCAACCACCAGCCTAAGTATACCTTTTATAGGTACTGTAGGTGAAGAGAGCAGCCTACAGTGAGTTTGCCAGTAGCAGGACAAAGCACCTGCCTGCTGGGAGCCATGTGAGTGAAGTGGGAGATCTGCTTTGGACAGGATCTAGAGCCATTTGACATTCAGTTTGTGCACAGTTGGCCACATACAGCCACTGAAAACATGACAATAGCTGGGCACAGGAAAGTGCTCTCATTTAAGTATTGCTACTGTTTTGGCAAGAGGCATCTTCTGGAGGTCTCCTGAGTTGACACTCAGGAAAGGAAGAAGGTTCCATTCAGGAGGTGTAGGTCAGAGCATTTCCAAGCTCTCAGGAACACATTGAGGCAGAAGACCCAGCACCAGCAGGAAAGGAAAACAGTTGTATCACAAGCAGGGGGGAATCTCAGATGCCTCAGCAGATTTGTAAAGAGTCAGAGGAGAGCAGGCAGGGGTGGATGAGACAATATAACTGGATGCTGAAGTGTATTGGTAAATCACTGCTCTGGTGCTTGCTTTCCTCTCATCCCACAGGAGATACTATAATGTGACATGGGATGCCAGAAAACCATTGAGATCTGCCTTCTATAAAGCACAAAGAACATCTCAACTATAGGCTTCTGTATACAATATATTCACAAACCCTCCCCGAGAACCAATTACATCTTACAAGGACATGCCAATTTCTAGAGAAAAGGTTCCCACATGTTATTAAGGGCAGGCAATAACCTCAGTGCAGCAAGATGTGCTGGAACTGTTGTCCTAAATGAAATCAAAGTATATTATCTCAGATTTCCAAGTGTTAGACACTGACTCATGCAGTCTACTCCCAAGAGGCACAAAAACAGCTTACAGGGGGGCTTAAAAGGGTTTACCAGACTCAATTTCTAACAGCAGGGAAACAGGAACCTCAAAGATATTTTCTTTTGAAATTCACAACATGATAGAAGAGGTAGATATCCAAAGCCCAGACAGATCTGCAGGGAACAATACTGAGAGGTGCTGACATTCAAGTCAGTCTGTCAGTAGCTTCAACAACTCCTTTTTCAAAAGGCTGCTTTTCCTGCTTCTGCATGCTAGTAACCAGTTCAGCACTGGATAATGTGATCAGCCTTGGTTAATCCACACACTCGCTTCGCCCAGGTGGCACTGTCCCCAGAAAGGCTTTCCCAGCATCTCTAATCCAAAAGAATAACAGAGGCTGCAAAACAATTTCTCTTCATCAAGTAGCATATGTTGCCCAGCAGGAAACAATCCACCTGAGCAGATAAGCAACAAACAAGCAACAGAAAACCAACAGAAAAGACAAAAACATCAAATGCTTTTACCTCAAGTTTGACTAAAAAGCAGTATCCTGAAAACACACAGCAGCACACTATTTTCAGGTTAAAAAGATGATGTCCGTGCAAAAAGCAGAAAGCTCTGTGACTTGCTGTAATACTCCCACCTGATACTTAACACAAATCAGAGGGCTTTAGCCCTCCAGCCTTGTTTCAGGAAAACTACTTAAATAGGCTTGCCCAGCACCAAACCTTATTCAAATACAGAGGCTGAGGGGCAAAGTTACTCTTTCCACCAGCAGCACTGGCCTGTGGAAGCAAAGCTTCGCCCTGCTGTTCTCCTCTGCGCTCAGAGACACCACCAGGGCCACTTGTTGTGTCTCTCCTTGGTGAGAGAGAGAATTCACACATCACGACTTTTACCCAAGACAGGCCTAGGCTATCTCTGCTCAAGGGAAAGGGAGAGGTAGGGAAGAAAAATAAAAGACCACAGAGTGGCCTCTAGACGACCTGGTCCTTTTGGAGGCTCCAGGAAAGGTTTCATCACTGTCTGTTTCCATCTAGGGCATGGCCTCACGAGAGGTTCTTCAGAGCTTTTGGCTCGGCTACACATCTGGACAATGCTGCCAAACCCAGAACTGCCTGGCACATCATGATTGTTCTCAGTTTAGAAGGAATTAAGACAAAAAAAAAAAAAGAAAGAAATCTTCTTGCCAGCCAAGTCAGGAGACTGAGACACAGGTCCACAGGGACAGGCCAAGAGACTACCAACTTGAGCCTTGATGAGAACCAAGGCATCCTTCCACAGAAACCTGGAGAAGGGGGGGAAGGGTCTGCAAGCACTCAGATCACTACAGACCCTAAGAAAGGGATGGTATTGACTGAATTGCTCATTAAATGGGCACAGCTTGCAGCTTTGGGAAGGAACTCTGCCAGATAAAGAACACAGATGCACAAGACAACACATTTCACATAGTAGCACACAATGCAACAGAGGTTCAGAGAGACCATAAAAGCAGAAGCCAGGAGGGGGAATGTACGTAAAACATTTGCTGAAGATGTGCCAGATCTCTGACTTTGCAAAACCATACTGGAATGGGCGCTGACCTTTCCAGCACATACTAAAATACCCAAGGTTATGTGATCTTCCAGGCACAGGTGAAACCAAAGCATGTGGATGGTTCTCCTAGCACCAGCCAAAAGTACAGAGGTTTGTGCACGGCCATGGCACAAAAGATGACACAGACAGGCAGCAAGAATTAAAACTGGGAGGAGTTCTTACCAAAGTCCATACGGTCCTTATGATTACGCTGCAAGAGGCCCAGCAGCAGCTGCCTCAGGTGGCTTGATGTCTCCCTAGGGATGCTAGGATTGAAAACAAAAGCAAAATAAGAGAGGCATACAGTCTACTTAAACTGCTTTTACATATTCAGGAAGGCAACCTGCAAATGCAAACTCACTTTGTGCCTGCTGGGCTAGGAACATAAGAGCTACTGGAGAGGCGCTGAACAGGAACATCCGTATTTGCATTGCTGTTTGGCTTTTACTCCCCACTGTCATTGTTAAGGCTACAGCTAATCCAGCTTTAGTGGCCTCTCCCATCAGCACCTGCAGACCCTTTCACAGTGGGCCAATGTCATCCCTCTGGGTCTCAGCTAAGTCCATTCAACGTACAATATTTTGCACATGATAAATAAAATCTCTTCTACTTGGCCTAATGGGAATAGGGAGGTCATTAAAATGAAGCAGTTACCAAGGGGAAGCTTCCAATTAGGATACTGGCAGTGAAATGTATCACCAATTACTACTGGTTTATTAAGGCATTTCTTTTTCGAGGCAGCTTATGGAAAACTAGCAAGTAACCCTTGTCTATTTGCTTCCTCGATACAGATCATTTATTAATCAAAGGCCACGAAGATATGGACAACTGCCACCCGAGCAAGCTAAATTAGTGCAGCTTTTACCCTACTTTTCAGTATAGCAGGGAAGAAAATATTCTTTCTAGTAGCTGTTTTGCAGCACAGAAGAGCTAATAACTCATTGTGCTCTTCCTCACCCCTCAAGCAGATGGGGAAGAGGCCAGAGCAGCTCTTCACAACCCCAACAGATTTCAAGAAGCAGGGAATAAATGAAGGGATTAAGGCAGAGAAAGCAGAGTTCAGCTATTGCATAAGTGGATGCAGCTATGCTGACTTTCCTCCATGACCAGAAGTGCTGTCAGGGGCTGTAGCAGCCAGGCCCTGTCTGCAGCCAGAGCAGAGCTCTCCAAATTAAGCATAGGTGGCTCCAACTCCCTTCAGTATTGACTCTGTTTATCATGGCTGTGCCCAGCATGGCTCCCACGGTCTGCGAGGCTTTCCTCTCTCCCCATTAGCGGGTCAGCTGAGGTCATGGCACATGTGCTCAGCACAGTAATTTTAGCCGCGTGGAGCCCCAGCCTGCTTGGTAGCACAGCACATGGCTCGCCCCGGCAGGGCTCCACTTCGCTGGGCTGGCATCACTCACTGCCCTGATGCCAAGCAGGACTGATGATGGGAGAAGGAACCCTTCCTGCTCCTCTACCTCTGCCAAACAGGGTGAAAAAGAAGCTGGGATGAAAATAGTGGGGGAGGGAAAAAGGTGCTAGCTAGCACTAACAGCCTTGTTCAGTGAAACAAGAGATGGGAGGCAAGGTGTGTATTTATAGGTTTCAGTAGTACCCAGTTATTTTTCTGTGAAGCTCTAGGCCTCGCTGGCACAGGAATCTGAATCTGCAATTCCTAGAACAGAGAATGATGGCAAGCATCCCTCATCCTTGTTTGTACTGCAAGAGCTGCTTTGCCATCCCAGACACTAGAATGGTTTTGTGCACCTTCCCAGGGCAAAGGAAGAGGCCACCAGGACTCCAGAAGGGATGCAGTTAAAGTGAGCCTCCGTTTGAGCCAAAAAACCCCACCCTCTCTTCAAAAAAAGGTGTGCCTTAGAAGTACACTGTGTAACGGAATAACCCAAGATCGCACTGCTAGCAGGGTCTCCTGAAAAATACATTAGTGCTGGAGACCTGCAGTCCTCCACTGTTATCATCATTTATTTATCCATGACACATAAAGCTCTCATCCAAAATGAGTCCATTTCCCAGCAACAGCTTTAGCTTTTGTATGGTTTTAATGCCAAAAACCAGGAAGGTCAAGTAGTAGACTTCAGATGTCACAACACAGACTGAGGATGATGCACATTAACAGTCTGCCTCCTCTCATCTCTCATGTCTAAAATGTCAAGCTTTGCTGTGCTACCCTACAGTATTATTTTCCAAGGCCATCTTTTTTAAACATAACACAACTGCCTCCTTCCCCCCACGATCTAGAATATACTTTGCCATGCAAATCAGCACAAGGAGTGTTAGCTATTTAGATCAGCACTATTAAAACTGGGAGGCCTTTTGGCTTTCTCCTACTGACATGGGCTCCCCACCTCAGAATGGCATTTCACCTGCCAGCAACAGCACCAGCCCAGCAGGCAGAGACCAATGCTGAGCATTTAATGAGCTTTTCTTCCCCCCCCTGCTCCCCAAGCCAAAACATGGCACTTTCCATAGTGATGCTGGGGAGGTGGGTGCCAGCTTGCCTAGCCCCCAGGAGAATGAAACCAAATCCTGGCACTGCTGCAGTCTGACAAGGAGGTCTCTGGAGTGGTTTTGTCCTGTGTTGGCAGGGCTGGTGGTGGCAGTTTATTCATGTTTACTCAGGAAATAGCACAGATTGCACCTCATGTTAAAGAGGCAAACTGGCTTTGGAAAGCAGGGAATCAGCATTTACACAAAGGCCACTTTGGATCAGACTTCTGTGGTGGGCTTGGATCTAATTTTTGGAGGAATTGGGTAGTTAAAAATTGGAGATAAGTGAAAATGGTAAATGCAGAGTGCATAAAGGACTAACAAGAAAGGACAAGGACTAATCCCTACAAGCTCAGGCATGCCCTCCTCTTACAGCAGTTTCATTTCTCCCCCCACCTCTACTGCACCCACCAAGAGCCAAAATGGCAGCAGGGCAGCATGATCAACATGAAGCTTATTAATTGTGGGCCTTAATTTCTCTCTTCCTAAGAGGGACTACCTCAACGGTGAGCAGCCATGTTTTAGGCTGTGTAGGGGAAACAGGAGCTCTACTTTCTGCTCGCACAGACCACTTGGCTCCAACTATGCCATCAGTGGTTTAGCTTTGAATTGTCCTGTTTGGGTGTTTCACTCCATCACACCCTCTGGTTCAAACCAGAAGAGCATGCAGATGCCCCAAACCCTGATAGAAATTTGCCCCGCCTCCTCAAATCAAACAAGGAAGTACTCAAAGGGAAATTAAATGCATAGCACAAGTCACTGATAAGAGCTCTAGCTTCTTGACAGTTCCTTCCGCTATCTCTCAGAGCTGTCTAAACTGATAAGGGGGGAAAAAAAAAATCCACATACAGTGACTCAACGCACTTCCTGCATATGTGGCTGCATTAGCAGCTCTGCCAAATGGAAACTCACTTTCTTGGCTAAAAGACTTTCCAACTTTGATATACAGATTCAGAACGATACCCCTGTCTCTACACCAGGCTGAGGTTTTAAAAGCAGAACCTCATGCCTGCTCTAAGAGCTCAGAGATCAAAAGGAAAGACCCCAGTGACAAAACCAAAATACACTGACAAATCACAGCGCCGGATGGCAGCTAGATTCTTCGCTAGGTAACATACACCCCAGTGGGACGAAAGCAGTCATCTTCCCCTTGGAAACTGCAGCAGTGCCCGTTTCCATCGAGGTTTAGTATTTCCTCCTATTAGCAGGATGGACACAAGCAGTTGCTGTCCTGACACGTGAGAAATGGGAATGTGATCTGCAGTCAGGTATGGCAGGTTACAGGAGAGACCAGAGTTTGGCTGCTTGCATGATTCAAGAACTGCCATGATTTCTTTCCAAGGCTCCCAGCCTCAGGGACACGGTATGTGGGGACAGGACCACTAGCTGGCTCGAAATCACTAATGATCCTGAATTTTTGCAATGTAGGAGAGGACTAGTATTGTGGAAAGAGAGAACACCAAGTCTGGCAAACCGCTGCTGTCTTTCTCTGGGCCGTATCACTGTTGGTTTGAGAAACGAGGGAAGGCAGGTGGCCAAATATTTCAGTCACCTCCCTGAGTGACAAGCCAGGAGCATGCGAGGACAGGTGTAAATACAGAGTAAACAAGCGCATGCGAACAGCAACACTGGAAAAATGCTTACTTCGGCATCAGCATCTTGTTTTTCTCATAGAAAAGACGAAGATCCTGTGGGCTGCTGGCCTGCAGAGAAGAAAGAAAACCAGTGCATGAAGCAGTTGACAACGAAGGAAGGGGATTAGCATTTCCATTTCACAGTTACATTTGAAGAGCAGAGAGGCACTTTTCAATTGCTGAACCAGCACAGGCAATGAGAACCTGCAGCTTGCTTTAGACTGAAAAGCCAGCACTGTGCCAGAGTGAAAACACAGAATTTCAGCCTGCTTTTTGTCCCTGACCTGGTTCCGTCCTGCTCTCCACTTCCCAGGGCTGAGTTTCATTGCAATGGGCTCTGATGTTCAGGTCTGAGCTGGCCTAATAGCCTCACCCAGGAGGTTAAATAATTGCAGATGTGAGGAGTCCCAAATGATGAATGGCAGCTCCTGCTGAGAACATGGATTAGTGCTGCAGGGCATTTAGAAAAGGGGCAGGGAGCCTGCAGATGGGCAAGGGATCTAGACCAGGAACACAAGGCAATAGCAACTGAATTAGGATTTTCTACTTTAATTCCAGGAAGCCAGGAGGCCTCAAGCCACAGCTCCTATTTGTGCAGTAATATACAAAACTGCTGGGGATGTTGATAAGATCCCAAATTCTGGGAGAGGGGATTAAAAAAAAAAAAGAAGTGGGGCTAAGCACAAGAGGTTTACAGCTTTATGGCTGAGGTTAAAAATAAAGTCGGCAGCACAGAAGTGCAGACCCATAAAAATCCCTTAACGTCATTTCTCCATTTGTTTTTATGCAATGAATAATACAGGTCAGTAAATTAACTCTAGTGTCTCAAGCTTTTCTGCTTAGGCAAAGTCTCTTTATTAAAGGCAGAGCAGGCTGGCATGACACAGACATGAAAGCACATATAAACAGGAAGATCAGAAATTCATGTGCAATCAATTACTGGTGCAGCAGAATGTGCAGGAAAGTGTGCATGAGGAGGTAACAGGCAGCTACACCTGATGTTCAGGGCAGGCTCCAAAAAAACACTCAAGCCTTCCACCTACTTCCATTTCTAAATTAGAAGTATTTAAGGTCAATTAAGATGCTTAAAGTGGCAAATCAGACAAGCCAATCTGTAGATGGCCATCAAAATACCACAAGCACTGCATGGCTGGAAATGCAGCCACGTAAGATGCTGTTTCAACAGCACCTACTCCCTCTGGCTGAAGATGAAAATTAAGGATAACAGAGCTCAGTACAAAACCTCATAAGAAACCAAAGGGAGAGTCTCAAAAGCTGTTAATATCAACAGACTCATGTAGTACTGATCAGGACTGTTGCATTGCTAAAACTATGCATGCAAGACTCATTTAGTACTGATCAGGACTGTTGCATGCATAGTTTTAGCAATGCAAGCTTCACAGCTCTACCAATTTCTACCAATAAAAGCTACTGGATTCCTCAAAGAGGGAAGTAAGAAGAATTTCCTGGTTCTCCGTTCTGCAATAACCTTTCCTTTGCTGTTCACAGACACAGCAGGGACCCAAACACGAGACACAAAAATATTTTCTTCACAAATCATTAAAATAAACATTATTCAGCAAAGCACCTTGTTACACAGATGACAAACTGCATCAAAACTTCCAATCACTGCCACTCAATTTGATTTGGTAAAACTCTGTTTTACACTTTTCCCCTTGCAGATCTTGCCCTGTAATTAGTTTCTTAATATTTGGCAAACTGGAAGGAGGGAAGTGTACACACTGCACCAAATGGCTTGGCCACAGTGCTGTGTGAGGTGGCGGAGTATCCTTCCCTGGAGACTTGCAACAGCCGCCTGGACTTGTTCCTGTGTGATCTACGCTAGGGGATCCTGCTCTGGCAGGAGGGTTGGACTACATGATCTCTAGAGGTCCCTTCCAACCCCTACCACTCTGAATCTGTGAATAATATGCCTGACAGACATAAGGTACAAGGAGGAACAGAACTCCACTGCAGGGAGGCGAAGTGCTTGCTTACATCAGAGATACAAGCCTTGGCTGTTTGCTCTGTTCATTTCCTGTCGCAACAACTCAATTGTTTCACAAATACAATGAAGCTCTGATCTATTTCAAACAATGTTTTGTCAGAAATTTTCCTGGCAATAGAGACAAAGTATATTAAAAGCAGCACTCATGCAAAGCCCCAATCATTAGAGAGGGCTTCTAAGCACTGGCTTGGATAGAAACAAAATCCTCAATAAAGTTCCCCTCATCTTTGTACAAATTAAAGTGATATCCCTATAGGGATGTTGTTCCTTCACATTCTGCCATCTCAGCACAATTCCCACTCTTCCTTCAAGGACCATATCCAGGCTGTCAGGCTCCTCCCCACCCAGACCACTCTTCCTCACCAGGGCTTTCCCAAGTTCAAAGCTGGTGTCTGATACAGGTACCTGCCTACTGGGAAATAGCCTCATTTTAGTGAGTGGCCAGCACAGACAACTGTGGATCGCCCTTAATTTGGTAAAGTCAACTGCATCTTCACATAACTTTATTATTAATCAACCAAGTCACTGTTCTGCTCCTAGCAGCAGGCTCCCAGGCTTGCAATAACATGCTCACTGCTCTCCTGCTGTTAGCATCCATTTCCTAAAGAGCTGGTACCTTCAGCCACTTGGCTCACCTCTTTCCACAGATAGAGCTTCTCTGAGAATCACAGAAATACTGCAGAAATGTTTGTTAGACACTAAAAATGTCATTTAAAGTCCTTCTAGGAAGCTAAGGACTTAATTGGCAATCTGCCTTCCAGGCAGATACACCCTACCCAAAAAAAACACCAACAAAAGCACATTTCAGGCACTTAACTAGACCATTCAAGGTGCACAAAGCCAGCTGCTACCTGTAGGACAGCCTCCATCTGTCAGGAACAGGGATGCAGAATGGACAGCTCAGTTTTCCCCAAGAACAGGGGACACCAGCAGGCCAATTCATGCCCTTGTCCTCCCTCTCATGTTACTACAGAGCAGCTGCATTACTGTCACTGGCTCTGTTTTTGTCTGCCCTTTCTATATAGAAAGACAATTGACAAATTCAATCCCGCCACTCTGTTGCTTTGCCCTGAGTAGCAGTGGAAACATGTTGAGCCAACAAAGGCATTCAGCGTAACCCTGCCAAATCCCGCTGGGTGCTGGCCGGCTGCAAGTGAATTGCATGCATAAAGCATGCGGGGTGGTGTTTCCAAGAGCACTCAGCACTGGATTTGTTGCACTCAGGCAAAGGCTGGATGCACAAGCCCAGAGCTCAGTCAGAAGGCAGCCAGAGCCATTCCCACCATCAGTGAACAACACCACCTAGTCAACACCTCAAAGCAGGGGTACAGTATCTGCTCCTCCCTTTGAATCCTCTCCTTTGGGATTCCTGGGGATTTGGAGGTGCAGAGAGGGGATTTGAATAGGTTCACAAGGAAGAAATACATAATGATGTTTCTAGCTTGATAGTTCCAGGGAAAAGCTTGAAAACTTGCTGCAAATACCTCCTGCTTAAGCAGTCTTAGAGTTGATATTTTAAAGGCTCCCAAAACTAAGTGGCTGGCATTCAGGGGATCTTGGAAGCACAGCAACCAAGGGAAAAAGAAAACCAAAGCACAAGTGTTTTTCTTTAGCTGTCCATTGATGTTTTTCTCTCTATTCCCACCAGATCAGGATCAGGCCCACAAACACTAGGCTAAAAGCCAATGGCTCACTGTCTACAATAACAAGTCAAATCACTGCACCCAATTTCAGCAGAGTAATGTACCACTTTAGGAATACCTGTCCCCATTGACACAGGACAGACCAGGGAAGAGATCAGCCTGCCTAACAAATAAACTAGGAGTTCAAATTCTGGGTATAAAATCCTCCCTTCCCTAGTCTTCCCTCAAGACTCATTTCACAACATAACAGTGGTTATAAATGATGCATAATCCTAGTACTTACGCAGGCAGAATTAACCCAGAAATAGAGCAGTGGACTTGGTATGCTGTGTCTGCTGGAGAGCGAGCTGGGGAGCAGGCAAGTGGCAAGAGAGGTAATGCTGCCTGGTCTAGCAGCTCTGAAAGGGTTAACATGCCTGCCTATGTTCTCATCCCTGCTAGCTGTGAGATGAAAAATTGATTTCTAAGCATGGCATACCATGTCTGTAAAGCAGCTAGGAGATTCATGCAAAGGCTCAGACAGTACACAACCAAGGTTCATGGTCCGTAGCAGGATCTGATGTCCAAGCGGACCGATGTCGCTGCCAGAGGCAGCTCTGACACAAAGTGCACGTGCTTGGGGATGCTGCTGCTTACCAAGAGCTGCCCAGTTTTTAAACAGGTCACACAACAGAAACCACCATAAATATCAGTGAGGTTCCTCCCCCACCAAAAGAAAGATAAGAGATTGAGGTCATTTAATCATTTTTAAAACATCATCTGACAAGGACTAGATTGAAGACCTTGTATGAATCTTATAAAAAACCAATGTCTACGATATCTTTCTCCTGTGTCTCTAGTTTTGCGTCTGGTTGTCCCTTGCCTACACAGCCTACATCCCCTCATGGTGGGCACTGGGTCCCCATCTCTTCAGCTCGGGTAGGGACAAGAGAAGACCCCTATACTCTCGAGGCACTTCTCGGTACCCATCAGCAAGATCAGGAAATGCACCGCTCATGTCCCATCCTCAGCGACAGAGAGGCAAGTGCAGACCAATGATCAGGCAAGGCAAATTAACAATTCCACATTAATACAGTACTCAGCAAATCTGTTTATAGGGATTATGAATCCCATTAATCTTATCCCTGTGGCAGTCTCGCTGTTTTGTTTATGGGCACGTTTAACACAAAAAGCTCCTTAAGACAGCTTCATCAGCCATCCTACCAACTGCTCACGTCTGAGCATCAGCAGCTTTCCTGTCTGCGTGCAGGGAGAAGACAGGAATGGCTCCGGGAAGTTGCCTTGGGTGACCCAGCTATAGTTAAAATTAACCTTGAGACAGCTAGAAATCGCATTCATGCACATACACACATCTCTGTCTTGATTTACAAGCACGTTGTGGATTGACAGCTGCCTCAGCCTTTCCATATATTTGATCTTTTCTCTGTCTAACTCAGCCCCCTGAAGCCCTATTTTATTTTTAGGCAGCTCATTCCTCCTCACCAGATAACACCGGAGTCTTTGGTTCGCATCCCCATGGAGGTGCCTAATTGGCTCCTGCAGCGAACAAGTAGAGCACCCAAATGCAGCATGTTTAATGCCACTGTGCTCCAGATTCCCAGGGGAGTCTCAGCTAGAGAGAGGTGAGGGGCTGTCCTTGCCAGTCTGGGAGGGAATCTGTGAGGATTTAGCCTGAAGAGCTTAACATCAGGAATCCAGTTCCTGGCTTCCCTGTACAACTGGGTCTGCTGGTGGCACTGTGTGGAATCAGTCTGTTATCTTCCCACCCATTGGTGCATGTCCCTCCCAAAAGCACTCATCCCTATTACCCATCTCCCCATCACCTCAGCCCACTACCCTTCTCTCCTCCTGTAAGCTCTGTGAACAATAGCTTCTCGCCTGCTCAGTGATCATCAGCAAATTCTTCCAACACAGTCATGCCCGCAAATAAAGCCAGTTAACCTTCAACTAGCTTTCCCACATCTGCCCCAGCCAGCCTTCTTTCACCTGAAGCTTGCAGCTAGAAGGCAATTTGTGACATACACGGTCAAAACAAATAGCTGGTGCACAGAACCATCTGGGCTGAGCTTTTCTCCCCTGATCAAACAAATGCACAGCTGCTGCTGCACTAACAAGTGAGGCCTGGCATTTTGCTTCAAAATACAAACCCCAAAAGAGGAAAGGGCATGGGGAAAAACTAAAAGAGAGAAACAAGTGACCCCTGTCCTCAGCCCAACAGATGTTGGATATATATGGGAAAGAGAGAAGTTATTCAGTCAGGCAAGCACAAGGCAAGGATCAGGACCTGCTGGGCAAGGATCAAAGTGTCCCTTCACGGCCCACCACAGGGCAGGGTGGGGGGCACAGGCATGCAGGACTGCTGTCACCTCTGTCTAAGCCTGAGGACACGTATATAGGCAGCAAGGTGGTGGTTTTCTGACCACCTGCTCTTTTAAAACCTTGCCTGGAGAGCTGAATGCAGCTGACTAGTACTCAATTTTATTTTCTGTGAACCATCTTTTCTGTAAGAACAAATGTTTTCAGAAGAACATTTCTGAGACATGCTTCAATGACAGTGATAAAAGCCACCTAATTCTTTGAAAAGAAATCAGATGCCCCAAGGTTGTGTGAGAGCTACTAAGCCAAGAAAACTGATGATAAAGTCACCACATTAAATAACTAAATCATTTGAATGAGTACAGTATCAAGGTGCCCTTAGAGAATAAAAGGCAGTAGGTTACATGACAGAATGAGTGCAAGGCTCTCCTATGCATGCAGTCAAAGCTTGCTTTCTTCCACCCCCACGTTTTTTTTCTTAATGCACAAATATTTTCTTTTACCCTAACAGTCATTTTCTCCTCTCAAACAAAGATACCAACACTGACAACAAGTGGATGCAGCCAGTAAACAGGACCCATTCAGGAGTTTCAGTGTACTTTGTAGGGGTGTTCATAAAAAAAGCAGCATGCAGAGGAAATGAAGTCTTTCTCTAAATACAGAGCAAGCTGGTGGCCAGAATATAAAGCACTGGAATGGAAAATTCTTACAGCAGCAGGGAAAAAGTTACCCTGAGGGTGAAAAAAAAGTGTTCCTGGCTTTAGAGAAAACCAAAACATACCATTAGTTTACTTCTGTATTTGCCCTCTCTTTCCTGCAACAGATTCCCAATTCACTTTATCCTTCCTGATGATGTAACTGCCTAAGACCTTGAATGTTTGTGTGAAATTCTAAAGAGATGTGGAACTACAGCTCAGAAAGTTCTGCAGTTCATAAAATTTGCCTTATTACATGAGCATAGATCCCCCCCTGACTTTTTGGGTGGGGTTTTTTGTGGGTTGGTTGTATTTTGTTCTGGAGTCAGGACACAAGAAGAGAGGACCACAGTTCCCATTTGCCCTAACTGATGTAAGCATGTGAAGAGTTAGCATCAGCATGCAAATTAGAGGTTTGGTCTTTTTCCACAGATTAGAGACAAGCTCTGTAGAGCTGAGACAAGAGACACAAAGAAAAACAACTCACACATCTCTCTGCTCTGCTGTAAGACAGCAAGGAGAAAAACCTGACAAAGTACAGTACTTTATAATAATGGTTGCAAGGGAGAGTCTGCAGGTCTCATTCAGCATGAAAGAAGGCAAGTTGTGTGGCACATGATTGGGAACAAGAAAAATGCAGAGTCTAGATAAACTCCAGCTATGTGATTAAAAACAGGTGAAGTAATCCTGAAGCAACTTGCATAAAGCTGTGATGAATTGTCTATCATTCAAAAATTAAAAATCAGAGAATAGCTTTCACAAAAGATATGCTCTAGCTCATTCAGAAGTTATGGCATAAATTACAGGGTGGAGTTTTACTGGACTGTGTTACATGTAGAAGGGTTTGGACATGATGAACATAAACATTTCGGGCTGGAAGGGGTTGCTGTGAGATGACAGATAAGATCCTTTTGATAAAGTCCTACTTAACTGGTCTACAACCAGAGTCACTTTAGCTGCAATACACCAGCTGCCACCAAATCACCCCAAACATCAACTTGCAATTACAGTCTTCCGTACTGTCCTTCCATACTCAACAGAATAATTATAAATTACACAGAGTACAGCTGCAAATAGAAACTGGGTTTAATTGTGGGCCTGGAAAAAACACCGCTTCAACTGATTCAGGGTAATTTTCTGAAAAGATGACCATACTTAAGGATTTGTAACCAGGAAATACATTTCACTGAGATACTAGAATGTGACTTTACTTCTCCGGGTTGTAACATGTCCAGCATTACAACATATAAAGCACCACACTGTCCCCGTGTTGGACAGCCAGACCGCCATGAGGCTGGATCTATGGAGTTAATGTTACAGACAGAAACCTTAGAGTAAGCAGAGCAAAAGTCAGAAACATTAGAACTGAGCAACTCACCTGGAAGGGAGCCTTGCCTGTCAGACACTGATAAATGATGGTTCCTATACTCCAGAGGTCAGCTTTGGCATCGTAGTGTTGAGACATAATGACTTCTGGTGCCTTTTTGGGGAGAGAACAGAAATCTGGTTTATAGAAGATGCAGCTTTTTTTTTTTCCTTTTCTTAGCAGCCTTTAAAAACCCTTGAGCCAGATTCCCCAATATCTGTGAAAGAGTTGCTCCCGAGAAGACTGCTTCCCCCATTAGCCAGCAAATTGGCCTTTTTGAGGTAGCGTTACAGAGATTTTCATTTGGGCAGACAGGAGAGAACCCTATGCCATTTGGCTGCTTCAGGCTAACTCATTACTTCCCCTACTCAGCATAGCATTTTCTGCCTGAATCCACCTGTGCTCAGCCCCACTGAAACTGCAGAGACAGATCTTCTAAACCAAAGCAAGTAGCAGGTAAATGATCAAGAAAATCAAAGGCTCACGCTGCACGGGTAAGCTTCAGCCTCCATCCTGATCTGTACCACTTGTGCACTTTCCTCATTTAGCTTAAGATGGCAGCTTATTAATTATGCTCCAGAGCTTGCTGCCAAGGTCACAGTTTGGATTCAAAGGCAGATCTATGCATTTCATTCCAACAGCTTGAGCCCTGCTGTGCCTCCAACTCTGGCTTCTAATCTCACACCATGCCCTCAGTTGCTCCCTCCCAGGCTTGCTCCAGAAGCTGGAGATGGTGCAAGTGCACGAAGCCCTGGAGCTCAGGAGGCAGTGTGCTTTAGGAGCAACAGCAGAAGAGGGACAAGAGGGCAGGCTTGCAAATCCCACGTGTTTGTAACAGATTTCATCAAAGTGCAGCCAGCACAAAGCAGGATCAATTTTATAGCTCTTAGAAGTAAAGGCCATATGTAACAAAAAAAAAAAAAGGCAGCAAACAAGTTATGGACAGGAGCTTGGTATCTCCCTAGGGGAAGCAGGCATAACACCAAACAAAGCCAAGGAAGCAGGACAAGAACTGCACAAGGTTTCCAGTCTAATCTAACACATATCATATCAGGGTTCAGACAAAGCTCACTGTGGTGCGAGTAAAACACCTTTCTTTAACAGAGCAAAATGAAGACAGTAGCAATGGGCAACAAGGTAAAGCAGGGAATAAGGGCCTGTCTTGCCAGCAGATGTTCCCAGGGCTAATACACAAGAACCACAGTAGCAACAGGCACAGGCTTCAAATGCCCTACATACCAACTGAACCCTTCCCTCCCATCTTCCTGCAAACTCATCAGTAAACAGAGAACAATATGGAACAGTCATAGATGCCTTGTAATGTCCACAGTTGTTTTAAAAAAAAAAAATTAAGAAGGTCATCATTAACTTCCTCTAGACCCTTCAAAAAAATAAGCTGGGTGTTTTCATTGACTCCAAAAGAAAAAGTGTCACTAGAAATAGACAATTCAGGAAACTCTGACAGGAGAAAAATGTGACATCTTCACATACAGCACAGTTCAAATAAACAACAGAGTTTAAAAAAAAAAAAAGAGGAAGTCTTTTACCTTGAGTTAGTACTGTGGAACAGACTATTAGACACACTGCCCCTGTGCAATGCAACACAGTCCGGCTTAACTCTGCCCAAAGTCAAAAAAACTTAGAGTGGATTAGACCATGTCCAAAAGCAGGTGTCTACAGCCCCAGGGCACTTGTAAAGATTTCAACCTAAATTGACCCACATCATCTTCTAACTTTGAGCTCAGACACCCATGTCACCAGGAACTATTACATGGCTGGCTTTGACATTTTTATTTCTGGCCTGGTTTGGTATTTTTCATTTCTCTGACTTGATGTGACACAGAAATATTGACTGCTGCCATGAGCACAAACAGGAGACATCACCTCCTCACATCCTGGTCCCAGAGTGGAAAGACAGAGGTGGTGAGAGGGATCAGTTTGGGTTTTTAAACACATCTGTTTCACAGGCTGAGAAGTCACCCTGGAAGCAGCTGGTTTGGTGAAAAAATTGGGCAGGGGGAGGGTGAGGGAGCAAATGCACAAACAAACAGCAGCAGGTGAACTCCATTTACACTCATCTGCTGAGCTGTACAGCAAAGCATACTTAGGAGTAAGTTAGCCAGAGCAGCAAAATCTCTGCCTGCATAGACTTGAAGATCTGAAGGGATTTTACAAGACCAAAGAGCTAAAAACAGTTGGAGATTTTACAAAACTGGCATTAAACAGGGACCTTGCTCCTAATGCTGTGGCCTTACAGGTGAACTCCATTTACACTCATCTGCTGAGCTGTACAGCAAAGCATACTTAGGAGTAAGTTAGCCAGAGCAGCAAAATCTCTGCCTGCATAGACTTGAAGATCTGAAGGGATTTTACAAGACCAAAGAGCTAAAAACAGTTGGAGATTTTACAAAACTGGCATTAAACAGGGACCTTGCTCCTAATGCTGTGGCCTTAGGAAAAACGACTGCAAAGCCCAAGGTGACAGCAGGCTCGTGGAACCACTCTGCCCCAAAAGGGCCTGCTGACCGCTCTCCAAGGAAGCAACACCTCAAATATAGCCAGAAGTGTGAAATATCAGCCCAGCCCTCACTCTCTTTTCTTGTTGTTTTGCTTGCAGCAGAGGAAATAGATTTCATTTCTCAACACCTTCAGTGGGGAGGCCATGGTTCCCTCAGGAAGATGCAGTTTCTGGGAGCAGACAGCAATCAATACTCTGTTTTGTTCAGGTTGTTAGATGAAAGTTAGATGACCACACAGGCACCTGTTGCCCAACATTACCCGCAGCCAGAACTTTATGAAGTCTCCCTGTGCAATAGCTGCTTTCTGACAAGCAAATAAAATTTCACCTCTGGGGAAAGACTAGTGAAAAATAAAGCCTTACTTCTGGGGGGTAAAGCAAGAACACTACAGAACAACCTGTAGGCCAAACGCACTTACCATGTACATCGGTGAGCCACACAACGTCGCTGCCATCATGTTGTTCTGCAGATATCGGGCAAACCCAAAGTCGGCTGCAAAGTGAAATAGAGAGGTAGGCCAGGATCAGACCCTGTTTTAGAAAGCCTGCTCCTTCCCCAGCTGATTCCCCCCCACTTTCCTTTGACTTCTCATTAATTCTCACAGCAAGTACCCCACCTTAGCAAGGCATTGATAGCTCTTCTCAAGCAGTAACATCCTTGTGCTCGTTACTAATGCACACTAGAAGAGGAATAGACCAAGCCATCAAAAACAGGTATCCAGAAGAACAAGTTTCCATCCATTTTTCAGAAATCGGTCACTTCCTGTATCCAATTGCCTGCACTCCAAAGCATCAGCTGCTGAAAGCTGGTAAAACTCTCCTGATTTTGGTGAGGGTGTGCCAGCTCCTACTAGCTAGCTCATCTGCTGCTAGCTCAATTTTTAGTTTGAGGAACTGCAAGTTCCCCTCCATTGAAAAGGCTGCAATGTAACAGACATCCAAGAGAAACCACCACTTGCCATCACGCACAGTTCTAGACGAGCCCTACTGATAACAGCCTTGCTCTGTTCCTTGAGAAGGGTTTCAACAGTGCTAACCTCAGCACAAGGGCAGAAAGCTGAGCTGATTTCACCTGGTGGCTATCAAAACCAGGGACAAGGAATACCAAGATGAATCACCTCTGCAGCTTACTCAGCATCTGATCATATGGTATTTAGAGGTTGTCTCAAGGTTACCAGATACTTCAAGCCAGGATACACACAGTTGTTTACACTGTCATCTGTCACTAAAACAGGTACGGCTATTCCCTGGACCACATTCTTCTCAAGGAAGCAGAAGGAAAGGGTTGCAGGGTGCATCACACCCAAGAGCAGCTGTGCTCACAGTCCTCGTGCCTGTCTGCGGCTCCCAGTCACTTCCACCTTCCAGAGAACTCTGCACTTCCCAAAAAAACGCTTCAGCCAAACGAGCAGCAACATTTCAAACTTGTCCATCAGAGCTCTTTTCTCAGCTGAGTGAAAGCATTAACACTTTCTCCACAGCACAGGGTTCAGGCAAGGAACAGTTTTATCTGACTGGTGTCAGCTTCAGCTCGTGAACTGTAACATCAAAAGTCCACATGCTGAGGGTGATACCATCCAGCATTCATTTCTGAGGACCACAGGTGACAAGTGTGCTCTGTAACTGGATTTCTGTAGCATTTGTCCCAACTACCAGTCCATCTGTGCACTTGCTTAATGTGCAAAAAATTAATTTCTTCAAGATGCAGGTGAGAAGCCTGCCTCTAATGCAGACTGTAGAAATATCTGGACATTCCAAGCCAGTTAGGGCAGGCTGGTACTCGTTTTTACCAAGGGAAGCACCGTTCAGCTTGGAAGTGGAGGAAGGCTTGCCAGATTTTTTGTGTCAGTCTGTGTCCTGGCAGAGCAGAAGGCTCCCGCTCCTACTGCCTCCAGCCAGCTGATGGTTGTGTCTAGCAGAGGAACTAAGCAATGAAGGTGAGAAATATTAAGGCATTTTAGGAAGTGCAGCAATTCTTTTCTCCCTCCAGACTGTTCCCCAAGGAAAGATTGAGGCTTGCCATTCATCTATCATCAAACTCTCCCAAGAGCATTCAGGGTGATGGTTGTAACAGGGTCTTACCGATCTTTATACGAATGTTGTTGGGATTTGACTTCCTGCCTCCTGCGTAGGAGAGGAGGATATTCTGTGGTTTCAGGTCCCGATGGATGATGCCTTTGCTGTGCAGCATTTTCATGGCACCTGCTATCTGCTGGAGAAAGAGCCTGATGGTGTCTTCACTAAGTGTCCGCATAGCTAGGGAGGAAGAAAAAAAAAAATAGCCACAGATGAAAAAATTTACAATGCCAGTTCTCTGAGAGCCCAGAGGGCAGATTCTCCACTGCAATTAGATATAATTTGGCATTTTTACATCCACTTATGGCATTTTTTCCTTCACACACTATTTCTGAATGATTCCTACAGGCAACAAGGGAGAGCATTTGCATTCCCAGCTTATTCTGTGGTCAGGGCTGTTTTCAGCCCTAAGTCTCTCAGGGCGAGCTCAGGTCAGTGGCAGGTGCTAAATTTGGGTTACCAACTGGGTCCAAACAGTGACATTTGGTGAGGTTTAGGGCTTCCATCAGCAAGAGCTGCCAGCCAGCTCTAGGCATGCACTAGGTAGGGCCTGCAGCCCAAGGAATGGGAGAGTCACCACCTTTGAGCTATGGTCAATAAATTCAGAACTTTATCACAAAGATTATGTCTAAACCTGGAGATAAGAGGAAAGGCAGTTAGGATCAGGCTTTACACCTGTAAGAACCATTAAGGCCCAGGCTAGGACTGGAAAGGGTTGGTAGGTTAAATTCAGACAGTGAGTCCAAGTCCAGGCATAACCCTTGTGCATCATCACCCACTAGACCAAACCATAATTCTAATCCCAAACCCAGTGTTATGATAAACCACTGTCCAACACCTAACCACATACCCCTAACAGAGGGCTCCTGCAAACTCATCTGACATCCTCCACCTTGCATCCATAGGTAGGAAATAGCAGCAAGACAGTATCAGAACTCTTTTATAAGTAAATATTAAAAAAACAATCCAAATAAGGAAGCACTGAACTGCACTCTCCTGGCATATGGGCTTCCTAAGAACTGTGGTGTGAAAATAAATATTGAAGGGATTAAATAATGTTCAACTGGCTCTTTTAACCAGAGCAATGTGACGTTTGCTCTCGTTATTTTAAGAAGTGTATGTGTGAAACTCTTGCCAAAGCTGGGAGCAGCCTGCCACACAAACACCAGGATCAACAGTGCTACCAGTCTGCCTCCTTGTCAGCCACTGAGCAAGTCAGGCTTTAAGAGCCATTCCACCTAAATAAGTTCTTTTACAAAAGGTCCCTGTAAATTACTTGGGACTTCATTAGTGTTTTTCCAGCTGTTCTCTAGTAAGACATTAAAACAAGCTGGCAGGAGCTTCAAAATGCTGCTCCACCTAGTCAGCTAGAAGGGAGGAATCCTTATGAAAACACAGATGAGGCTGCACACAGCTTTGACAGAACACAGGAAATTAAAAATCCAACTTTTGAAATACGTGCATGGGAAACAGCAAGGGGCACAGATAAGTTAAACAGCATTTAAAATAGAAAATAAACTCCCACCACTCCCAAACCTCACTGTTCTAGAAGGAGGCACAAGCAGAGCTGAAATGTCACCACAGCTATCAGTTGGTCCTGGACTCATACACGTGAGACCAGGGCACATGTATATAGAGTTTCTCCCCCCTCACTGGGCCTTCTTCCTCAGGAACTGGCACTCAGCTGGAATTCAAGAGACTCCTCTGCAAGAAGCAGAGATTCTGTGAAGGTATTTTAAGGATATTAAGAGGCAGCTCAGACACAAGTGGGTTTAGGAGACCTGCATCTTCTGAAAAAGGCACTGCCTCATCTTTAACAAGGCTTTTCCTGAGCTCCAAAAAGTGTATCTGTGCACTCAATCTTGTATTATACCTTCTAAGGTCCAGCATCTTAGCTGTGATCAACCTTCTCTCCAACATTTCTGCAACTCCTATTTGGGGAAATCTATTCAAGAATTGTTAAAACACCATCTTTAAACAAGCCACCAAGAATTCCGAAATTTTTTTGCCCAATTCAGTTCAGACCCAGGAAAGGACAGGCTGTCTCATCTTCCCCCCAAACAGGACTTCAATAATGTTAAAGAACTGCCAAGTTTAAGTTAGCAGACGATTACAAACTCCTGGCTAAAGACCACCTCCAGACAAACGGTGTTGTTGAGAGCCTTGTTCTGACCTGCAGTCCCACCAGCATGCCACCTCTTTAAGGCATTGCCCTCTCCTTCATACAATTTGGTGGCTAAGGCTAGCACAGCACTAGCCTCCATCCCTCAGCAAACAAGCTAAGCCTTCCTGATATGGATTCCAATTCTTTCTACTGAAAAGATTGCTAACAAGATCAGAAGAGTCCATTCATCCAAAGAAAATAGGGCCTCTAAGCTACTAATTTTGGCAGAATTTAAGCTTTTCCAGTTCACAGAAATCTGTATGAAGCTCTCAGCCCTGCAAAGATGATGCTTTACTGACATACATAGTATCTAAACTGGTATCCTGAGCCTTCAGATTCCCTCAGTGCATCTGCAGTGGCACAGTGGAGCTACCATGTTGCAGCACAGCAAAATTAGACCCAGGTCTGTTAGATTCTGACTGCATTAAACCTCATGAATCCAGGTAGTGCAGCAAGGCAGGACTGTGAAATTGAGATGCTGCCCTCAGTAACAAAAAGGGACAGTCAGTTACTTGGGGAGCATACCTTTTTACCTCCCTCCATTAACAAATATGCTTTAACACAGAAAAACCCAAGTCTGTCTCTCGTACTGAGCCCATCAGTCTACTGTGTGTCAGCAGCAATCTCAGCTGAAGGACAAAAGACAACTAACACTTTCAGCAACTTCAGGACAGTGGTCCACAAAAGATCTTCTGGACCAACTACCATTGGCAGAGGGAGCAAAAAGATACAGAAGAGTCATTCATCTTAGGTGCCACCAAAAGAAAAAAAAAAGCGTAGACAAAACTACTCACTTTCTGTCCCTGTAAAAAGAGGACATCTCATCTTCATCAGAAAACTGCTAGCAAAACACTAAGCCTGCCCTGAAGTCTGGGCATTCCCATGGAGGTCTGTGGTCAGCAACATAGTCTTGCAGAGAATGCTGTTTCACAAGCCTTACTTTGCTATTACGGAGAAGTAATAATATCCCTGTGTTTATTTTCACAGGCTCCAGTTCAGTGACGAGGCACTCGGCTTACTGCCTTGGGCACAGTGGCTACGCAGGTCAGTAGATCAGAGCAAATATTTACTGCAGGTCAGTGCAGGGCCCATGTGCCTCGCAGCTCTTGAGGTGTAGGAAAAGGATGAAACCACCCAAAAAGTACTCTGGTCAGTCTGTGCTGAGATGTTCAGACTGCCAAGAGGCTGCCAGGTAAACTGCAGTAAACAGCTCTTGTCAGCTGATCCAAGGGTGGACGGGTTGGAGTACACCCGCTGATGTTACATGACAACACCGTTTTGGAAAAGTTATTTAGGAAAAAGAACTTCTCCTCTTACCCACAGGTGCCCCAAGTAATGTGCTCCCAATCCAAATCACGCTGAAGTCCAAGAGACCAAGTTGATTTATTTGGGGCCCGTCTTGGACCCCAGCTCTAGTCATGCAGAGTCACAAAGTCAAACGAGTAGCTGTGCGAGTCAGAAGGCTTCTTCCAGACAGGCCTAGTCTTATCAGACATTCTTACTGACCTAGCTGCAGAGGCTGAAAGGTTACACAGCACTGCCTCACACCCCTTGTTTGCAAAGGGGTTCCCACTCCACTTGAGATGAGTTAGAAGATCAAAGGTCCTTGCACATGTCATGGCCAAACCAAGAAATGCCCTGCTCCAACAAGGCGTTTTCCTCAGAGATGTGCTCTTCACGAAGCAGCTTTAAGGCAGTTCATGAATATTCACTTATGAAGTGTCCATGACAGCCTGTGTCAATGCCAAGACACAGAAATTTTACATCAGCCTGCTCTGACCTCCTGAGAACCCAAGAGCACAGAATTCCAGTTATTCCCATACCGAGGGCAGTCACTTCTGTAACACTTCCCACAGCTCTACCGCACACAGCAGCAATCTGCACTCTCAGCTCAAAATGCTTTAAATGAAAGCAACATCCACAGAGAGAGATCTATCAGAAGGGAAATCACACCAGACCATTAAAGAACACCTCCACCACAGAAGCTGTGCTCAGCAGAACACACACAACCTTGGGTTGTATCAAAGGGATGAGGCTGACCAACAACGCGACCCAGCCAAAACGCAGATTGCGCTGAAACGTGCACGCATGCACGTCTTCCAGTTATGAAGACAAGGAGAATTAGCGTGCCTTTGGATTCGACACAGAATTACCATATTGCTTAATGCTAGTAATTAGAGGGCAGCACAGATTGGGAAGCTTACAAGCATGTCGTTCAATGAGGAACAGGGGATTTGCCTGCACAGCTTGCAGAAGCGTTACAGGAACTACCAGCAAAACCATCTGAGGAGTCAGTGGGAAAGTAGATGCAGCAATTAAATACCATCACACAATTATTAAAATAACTGAAGCAGCACAATAACCGCTCAGTACAGATGAGCCTCCTGTGTACCAGTGGAATACCCTGGAAGAAATCTGAACTTCCTGAGACAAGCTTTCAGGAAGCTATCATTACTGCCAAAAGCAGGCTGAGTGCCTGCAGAAACTGGGAGAGGAGTTACACTAAGGGAGCACGGGGTGGAATAGAGAAAGCTGTATGATGCACAAGCTGACACTTTTATCAAGGCCCTGGGATCTGGAAGACCCAGATCTCTGCTGCAGTGATGGGAGTAACTCACTTGCAGCAGTCCCCTGCTGACTGCTGCGCCTCTACAAATCCATGCCTGCTTGGCATTCCTCTTTCCCAGCAACTGGCACGCAGATGTTAAGAGTTAGAATAAAAGTAAACACCAACTTCCCAGTCACAACAGCTGCCAGAGTAAAAGATTTTATAGGTAGCAAGAGAGCTAAAGGTAACCTTGTCAAATTAACTCAGGCAAAGAAGGATCAAATTTTATCCCAGGAAACACTTAAACCAAATTGGGGTACAACTGAATTTTATTTGGAAAACACAATTCATCTCTTTCTCAAACTAGCCACTAATTTCCCCGAGTAATCTCATTTGGTAAACAAGGAAGTGAACTGCATTAATAGCCTAGCCAATTACACACTATGCTTCAGCTTTTTGGACAAGGTGGTGGAAGGGAGAAGATGACAATGTACCTATAGATACAGTAGCACGAAGAGGAAGACTTTCTATAAACCCACATTTCTATAAGTGATTCAGCCAGCAGCTGTGCTCTTGTGTACATACACAGGTTTGCCAACAACAGAGTACAGCCCAAGGCTTTGACATCAAGGTCTATTTAATATGCATGAAAGATAAGCACTTTAGCTCTCAAAGCCCATGCACTGGTAAAACTGAAATTTAACTAGTTTTTAAATGCATTTCATTATTAAAATTTGCACTTGTATTCAAGAAAAATAAGGTATTAAACATAAAACCATTTTCACTCGGTATTCCTAACAGCAGTTTCACCAAAGATGCTCCTTTCAGAGCACAGCAATACCCAATGGATGCAAACAGCCTTCACTTATCTAAGACAAAGAACACTAAACCTGGATTTTAGACAACAAATGCCTGTCGCTTCTCCCTCACTCACATTTTAAACATGACACATGAAAGAGACTATTCCTTCTTTTTCCTTCAAGTACTAAATCCTTTCTGAAAATTAAAGTCCACAAGTGTAATTCATTACCCTATATGAATAGAGTGCAATGCACCAGCATCAAGCCCCAGATAATCATTCTAGGGATACCAACACTAGCCCTAGGACAAATGTAAATTCAGCTTTTAATCCTTCAAGTTTTGCCATTTTCAGGCACCACGAACCTCAAATAAGAGGCATGATGTCTTTTCCAGCTGACTAGCTTTTAATTTGAACAATGTGAATTAACTTTGTTTCACCATGACCCAGAGCCACACAAGAAATGACAAAAAGTTGTCTCTTCACATTTAGTAATCTTCTAGTTAACATACAAAACAACGAGAAAGCTACTTTAAAGAAAACAAAAAAGACAGTCAGGGCAACAGAAAATAAGGGCTGTGGCTGACTGCAGCCAAATGTTTTACCCTCCTAATGCTTAGGTACTCAGGTGCAATGTGATTTTCACAGACCAGGACCCTCTACCTGTGTAGTCACCCTCAATACACTGAGGTAAGCAGTGTGTTCTGTCCTAGATGTGGGGACACCCTCAGGGGAAAACTTAAATAAAGTGAAATACAGTGTTGGGAACTGTATTCCACCCCTAAAACTTTGGTATAAAAAGCTTTTTTCCAGTGACCAAGAAGACAAACCATGTCCCTAGCAGTGTTAAAATATGTTTAATCTCGAAGGCCACTGTAACTACAATATATAACTCTTGACAAGAATCACCACTGACCTACGTAGGCAAGACTACAGGACTAGCTTTTACTTTTATGGATTCACAGTTCTCAAACTATTATCAAGGTTGAACCTCTTAGAAGA